TCGGATGCAAATTCGCTGAAAAGCCCCTACCTGGCGCGCCAGTTGTCGATGTTTTACCACCGATAGCCTGCCACGGGGTTACCCGGGACAGTATGTTCAGGCTTCAGCGTATGCGGAACTCGACGGTGAACGCAAGAGACAATTAATTTATCCTGGTTCGGGCCCTCGATCGTTGATCGAGTAATAACCCTACGTCTAGTCGGCGTTAGCCTCTGCGTTATATTGATTGAGTGTTGTTGCATTGTTGAAGTCATGATCTCTAGGATCCTGCCCTCCTTTATATAGTCAGGAGGTCAGAATCCTAATCGATTTACAATGAGAGTTCCTAGTAGGATTACAGAATAATACTACTACTAAGATTATATGGGAAGAATCCTAGTTAGACTAGATCTTCTCTCTTCCTTGCGGGGTATCCTGCGGATCCCGCACCGACACTTAGCCAAAGTCCTCCCACTCATCTCCATCATTGATTCATCATCATTGTGAGATTGGGAGAGAATCCAAGTGCATTGCTTGAGTGATTTTATCTAGAGGCACTTGGTATTCGTGTTTTGCTGTGGATTTCGCTTGTTGCTCTTGGTGATTGCCACCACCTAGACGGCTTGGTGCAGCGGTGGAGGATTGGCACGAGTTGGTGATTGTTCGTGGCCATCTCCGGTGATTGTGAGGGAATTTGTACCTTCCCCGGTGGAGCGCCAAAAGGTAACTCTAGTGGATTGCTCGTGTCATTGAGTTACCTCACTTATGGGTAGGTTCTTACGGTGTCCAATCATGTGGGCGAGGTTTGTGCAACATCTCTTAGCCGCCGAACCACCAAGTGTTGGTCGACACAACGGGAACGTAGCGTGTTGGCAAGCACGTGAACCTCGGGAGAAAATCGGTTGTCTCTTGCCATTTGACATTCTCTCGGTGATTGATTTTATATTCATCTTGTGATTGGTTCATCCCTCTACACGACGGTATAATCACCCTACTCACTCTTTTATATTCTTACAAACTAGTGGTGACAAGCTCTTTAGTGTAATTAGATTTGAGAGCTTGATTTGTTATTTAAGTTCATCTAGTGGAGCTCTTTAGTGTAGCAAGATTGAGAGCTCTTAGTGAGTAGTATCATAACAAGTTGTGTGTTTAGTAATCATTGCAACTAGAATTGTTGGATAGGTGGCTTGCAACCCTCGTAGAGCTAGAGCAAGTTTGTATTTCACTATTTATCTTACTAATCAAATTGCTCTAGTTGATTTGTAGAATTTCAAATAGGCTATTCACCCCTCCTCTAGCCATATTAGGACCTTTCAATATGGAGGAGCCGAAGACAGGGCCGTCTCTGGAGGCGTTCGAGCATCAACTTGACTGTTCAGGGGTTCGGAAAATCGCTTAGAGAGCAAACATGGAGAAAACAGCTCGGAGAAACATTATGGTGATATACGAAGATTGAAGAATATTAAAGCGTGACTTAGCTTTAGATAGAGCGTCTGGTCGGCAGCGTATGGCGTTATCTGGTCGGTGTTGACGGTGAGCACCTGACAGGTGGTGAGTTGTTGATGAAGACGACCTCGGAGGTGGTTCCGAGATCGGATCTGCTGTCGCGGGGGCTGGTGTAGCCAGTGATGAATCATCGTCGTGGACCGACATGGATCTCCACGAGATTGATGACGAGAACGCGCTGTTGATTTAAGGTCCATCTGGCTCGCCATGGGATCAAGCGCACACCCCTACCTGGCGCGCCAACTGTCGACAGAATATCGTCGGCAGTCCACCGAGGGGTATCCCGTGATGGTAGATTTGTCGGTGGGGATGCGCGTAATCTGGAACTGGATGGTGACACAAGGCGTAGAGACAACGATTTAGAAAGGTTCGGACCGTCTGATCGACGTAATACCCTACGTCCTGTATCTTTGGTGTATTGTATTGAATATGAGATGTATGGATCTTGTTCACTATGGGACCCCTACCTCTCCTTATATACTCTGGAGGGGCAGGGTTACAAGAAAAGTATCATATTTGGTACTATACAATAGCTTGCGGTGCACGCCGAGCAGCGCCGTGCACGCCTTGATCTTGTGGGCCGGGCCACCTCTGATGGTGCAGCCCATATCTTGTCTTATGGATACCGGGGGCCATACCCCCACAATAATGTTCCAATCAATATTACATAAGTCTTCACGAAAGATAGATAGTTAAAATATAACTATAAATTTGAATGCAAAACTAAAACATCAACTTTAATTGTCGCATCACTTCAAGCCTACAATACGTGAAAGATAAGCTTGAACTTTTTTAGGAATCAAGTGCTACGGAAAGATAATCATAGATGGCATCAGAATTTTATTGTTGTTTTTTCCTGTGATTTGTCCATTTTTTTGAAAGGAAAAAAATACCGTAGATCTTGGAGCGTTGGGGTGCACGCAATCAGGCACAACAACGTCCTGCCGGTGGACGTTAACATTTTCCTTATTGTTGATTTTTTTTGTGATCTGTGCTTTCTGGATTTGCCGAAAAGATAAGAATACCGTGGCTGCATGTTGGAGCGAGATGCATGTGCATGGAAAGACCCGAAGGAACCTGCGAGGGAGGAGCGCGGGATAGAACGGGGTAGAGCAGCCATGCAGAGGTTGGGGGAATTTCCTTTTCTGCGTCGGGTAGTCATGGATCACAAGAAGATTTTGGTCCTGCCAGGTAGACATTGAGAATCCGTATGTTTTAGTTGTAGTTCTTGAAAGAAAAAAATGCCTTAGATCTTGGAGTGTTGGGGTGCACACAATTGGGTACAACAACGTCCTGTCGGTGGACATTAACATTTCTCTTATTGTTGATTTTTTTCGTGATATGTGCTTTCTGGATTTACCAAAAAGATAAGAATACCGTGGTTGTATGTTGAAGCGGGGTGCACGTGCATACATCCACACATGGAAAGACCCGAAGAACCTGCGAGGGAGGAGCATGGGATAGAGCCGGGCAGAGCAGTGGTTGGGGGAATTTCCTTTTCTGCGTCGGGTTGTCATGGATCATAAGAAGATTTTGATCCTGCCGGGTAGACGTTGACAATTCGTATATTTTAGTTATAGAGAATCGAGTTAGAGAAGAGATAGAGATATGTAATAGTGTTTTTTCTAGGGTTATTTTGATCTAGGCCATTACAATTTTTCGAGTTATGAGAAACGCCATTATAATTCACCTATTCGGAGATTTGTCATTACAATTTCATCCCTCCCACATCCATACCATTTTCTACGGCTGTCATGTACCAGGCCCACTGTCAGGCACGTATGCCTACGGCAAGACATACGGACGTCAAGTCCGCGTCTTCTCCATCGACCGAGGCAGCGGCGCGATGACGGGCAATCTGCCTGCAAGCGTGGCTTCGCGCGCTGAGGGGAGCGTACCCTTCGCCCGCGAGCCCCAAAGACGTCGATACGGTGACCACCCCCGTCGGTGACCTCCATCTCCCGCTCCACCGTCCATAGCACCATCACCACCTCCCCCCATGACGAACTTCTCCTCGCTGCTATGGCTCACCTCGGCGCTAGTGGCCGCGCGCGAGTTCGCAGACGAGGTGCGCCCCTTTGAGGAGATCGACCGGCACAACGCTGACACGGCGGTGCGGCGCCGGCTTCCCACGGCAGTTAGCGATCGAGAAACCACGCCGCGCCTTGCGGCGGGGGCGCTCGTCGCGCGCCATGACGCAACAAGCGTCTAGGAGCCGACGGTGGTTTGGTGGGCGACGGCGCCCGGCTCGCGCCGCGCAAGCAACGGGTGGCCCGCAGCGGCGGCGCGGCCGGGCTCAAAGCTCGCACCCTTTAGCCCATGAGTTTGCGTGAGCCAGCGACCGAGGTGGAGAAGACCGGCACCGCCGAGATCCCACTCAACGGAGTCGCGTGCAACGGCGTGGCAGACGCAGGAGGCCATCGTGAAGGACTTGGAGTTCGCCGCCGCCGTGGTCCGTGGAGGGCACGTCCAGGCCTGTGGAGCTCCCCTGTCGTGGAGTGGAGTGGTGGCGTCTTTGGCACCTCCGGCGAGGGCGCGTCGCCTTCGCGCGCACCAACCTGCAGCAGCTGGTGGTCTCGCGCGCGCAGCGAGGGCTGCCAGACGCCCCACGCCGGACCCGCCGCCGCGCCGAAGAAGTCCGCGAGCAGCGCTGGCCGCAGCTGCAGCCTCCGCTCTAGTGCGCACTAATCGAAATCTCGACGCTAGCAGCCTGCAGACCACCGATAGCCCAAGAAAGCCACCCCTCGCTCATCGCCTCATCGCGATGGCCGCGGTGGTATGAGGGGCAGGGGCCACCGTCGTCGTGCACGAGATGCACCTCAGCCAGGGGGACGTCGCTCGCGTGGGGCAGGCTGCGCTGCCGCGGGGGCCTCCCGTCCATGCAAGGTCGGAGATGGTGAGACTGGGGGGCCGTCCTCAGTGTGGGATTCATCGCCGCCCAGGCTCCATCCTCCGGGTGCGAGACGCACCGCCACCGAGGGGTGGGATGGCCCATGGCGGCCTGCTGCCTGCGGAGGTCGCGGCCATCTGTGGAGCTTGCATGCGCCTCGCCCTGGAGCTGCTGGGTTTGGGGACAGGGATGCGGATGGGATTGGGGGAGGGGGACGACGCCGGTGTATGCCGCGGGCTTGGTCAGAGGAGACGGGACATCCGTATGCCTTCCGTAGGCATACGTGCCTGATAGTGGGCCCTCTACGCGGTAGCCATAGAAAAATGGCATAGAAGCGGGAGGATGAAATTGTAATGATAAATCTTTGAATAGGTGAATTATAATGACGTTTGTCAAAACTCGAAGAATTATAATGAATTAGATCAAAATAACCCTTTTTTCTAAAACAATAAATCAGTCGGCAAAACCGCACCCGTGTTTTTCTCACGACGAATCATTCCTGCGAATCAGCCGCGAGTACCAAACGGGACCGCGCCAGAACAGTGTCCATGGCACGCCGTTCTAAACCCTAAACCCCTGGCCCTGCTTTACTAAACCTCACCGAGAATCGCACGCGTCGGTGACCATGGCGGCGTCTCCGTCTTCTTCCCCTGCCGCCGCCGGAGTTGGTGGCCAGAGCCTGACCCCCTTAGCGCCGTCTCCCCACCTCACCAACTTCTTCGGTAAGTGCCTATTTTTCTTTCTCCGCCACAGACAGATTCAGAACGACCCGAGTTATGTTTGTCTTGCACAAACTTGGGGAATACGAGACAGTGGGGAACGGAGGGTTGATAAAGTGTGAGGCTGAGACTTAGGATTTGGATCTGATTATTGTTAAATTGTGATTAACTAAAATGAGTAATCATTTGTCCGTGCCTACTTTTTTTTTGTTAGAAAAAGGAATTGTTTCTGGCATCTGCGACTGCACACAGCCAACTTGTTCGTGCCTATTATATTTCCCCCCTTTGTATTGGGTGATGATGGAGTGGGATGCTTTTATGAACGAAACCTCTTTTATGATTGCTGCTATGACAATTGATGTATCATATAAATTTAGTTCGCTCTGTTAATTTAATGGTAGCTAATTGTTTTGATGATGGATTGTCCATTTCATTCTCAAAAGATTTCATTCTCAAAAGTAAGGGTGAAAGTGCTGTCATTTTCCATTTTCGCTAAAATTTTACTGCTATTCAACAACAAAGTACTTTGCATGATGGGAGCTGTTATTGGATTAGTTCTCTGTAACTTTTACTTGCATGTCCAAAGCATGCACAAAATCTTTTATTTTCCCCGCTTATGCTTTTCTGTTCCAACCCTTGGATTGGTGGTAAGATTCAGCTAATACTCAGCTTTGCAAATTTGGTTGATGGCAAGGTACAGTGGGAAATTGAGTGTTCTCATGGTGAGAGGTTGAAGGTTTGAAGCATACTGGAGCTTAATGCTTTGGCCTCGTGAGTTTAAATGTTGATTGAACTAGATCTGGGATTTTCTTGATGCAAAAGAGATTACTTGTGCATATTTATTATGTTTTGTTTTCCATTGGGTGGTTATTCAGTAAAATGCTCTTCAACAAATACATTGAAGATATCTGTTTTGAGATTGGGCTATCTATTTCATTCTCAAACGATGAGGACAAAATTGTCTATATTTTCCAATATTAGTTTTACTAGAAAATCAACAAGGTAGACCGTACAATAGGGATCTGCATTTGTATCAGTTATCAGGAAGTATAACACACTTTCCAGAATATGCACTTAAATAGTACTGAGATCTAACTTATGGTGCAGTGTGGAGGGAATTTGTCTGGGGAGGAATTGCAGGCGCATTTGGGGAAGGCATGATGCATCCAGTTGACACTCTGAAAACAAGGCTTCAGAGTCAGGCTATAATGACAGGGGCTAAGGTGTGAGATTGTTTCAACTTTGCTTGTTCACATAAAGTTTAACACTTACAATCATAATGCACGATTTTAATACATGGGTGCTGAACTTTTCTTCATCTCTTCCTAATAGGCTCAGAAGAATATATTCCAGATGGTCAGGACAGTTTGGGCTTCTGATGGTCTAAGAGGTTAGTGAATGAAAATTAAAAAGGGAAAGTAGACTCATGCTGTTTTTTTTAATTAAAAAAACAAGCTAAAAAGTTTAAATGTCAAAGCACATTAGCTCCATAACTGCCAAAAAATACACTGTTCCACACTAATAAGCATCAATAGTGATCTTGATAAATGTTGCGGTTGACCTCTTTTCAGGTTTTTACAGAGGAATCAGCCCAGGTGTTACTGGATCTCTTGCGACTGGCGCTACATACTTTGGTGTTATTGAATCAACTAAGACATGGTTGGAGATTGCTAATCCTAATCTAAGTGGACACTGGTCACATTTTATTGCTGGAGCGATTGGTAAGCACTCTATTTTCTGTTTTTTCTGTATTTTACTTTTTGAAAATTTTCATGATGCTGCTTAATGTAGTTAGATTTGTACTTTGTTTTTTTACTGAGCATGGGGACTTTATATCTGCAATCTGCACCAACAAACTTTTTCTAGCACCCCCTTTTGTTAGTTATGATACTTTGCTGGTGTAGGTTCTGTTGGAATGCATGATGTCTCAAGATAATTTCCTATGCTGCTTCCTGGATACCACATATATGTTTCATTCTTGATTCCAGGTGATACACTTGGATCCTTTGTCTATGTGCCTTGCGAAGTCATGAAACAAAGAATGCAAGTCCAAGGCACCCAAAAATCTTGGGCATCAGCTGTAGCTAAAGGAAGTATTTCTCAAACTCATGGGACTCAGATGTATGGGTACTACAATGGAATGTTCCACGCTGGCTGTTCTATCTGGAGAGATCATGGCTTGAAGGGGCTTTATGCAGGGTATTGGCACTGATTTCTTCTTACTAGCCTGCCTATCATTATTAATAGTGCCTTTCATTGTTTTTTATTGGATTACATAAGATCACCTTAAAGGAAAACCTAGACCTATAATACCTTTTATATTTGATTTGACTCTTTGCACAAGTTGATCACTTAGCTCTGTTCTTTCTGCAACCTCTGAAGCTTATCTATTTTAGGCCAGAAATAAAATCTTATCATACAAAATTGCTAGAGTTGTGAAAATCCATTGCTAGGCTAACCCTAGAAGGGTAGCAATATATATTAGTCATAGTTACAGACTGGACATGAAAAGAAGCACACACACAAGCCCCCCCACAGACGCAACTAGCCACCAATGATGTTGAGGCTGGAGCGAAACTCGGTGAAGGTCGATGACGGGAGGCCCTTGGTGAAGATGTCGACAAACTGGGAGGTGGTCGGGACGTGGAGGACCCGAACATCGCCGATGGCAATCCGATCATGGACAAAGTGTAGGTCGATCTCCACATGCTTGGTCCGTTGGGTGCGTGGGGTTGGTGGAGAGGTACACACCAGACCGACGTTGTCATGATGAGACCCGGCGTGCTCTCGGAGAGAGAGGGTGTGGAGCTCGGCAAGAGCTGTCTCGAGCTGGGAGGCCTCACCACGCCGTTAGTTAGCGACAACTCGGTACTCCGCCTCAACCTTTGGATCGGAGACCACCATTTGGCGGCGGGACGACAGGACACAAAGTTGCCGCCAGAAGAAAGACAACAGAGCCGGAGGTAGAGCGCCGAGTGTCCGGACACCGGCCCGGTCGGCGTCGGTGTGAGGCAGACGAGCTCGGTGGAGGAAGACCATTTCAAGGAGTAAGCCGAGTCGGCAAAGGCTGCGGAGGTAGTAGCGGAGGAGGCGCTTGAGCGCAGTGAGGTGAGGCTCTCGGGATCATGCATGTGAAGGCATATCTCTGCTGCCTTTGCATAGGTGATGTCGGCTTTGGTGAAGGTGAGGTCTTGAAGGGCACACTGCAAGACTCCGGAAGCGAGTGGGGTGTCCGCCACGGTGGTTCCCACGACCTCGACGGCTTTGCCTCGTGTGTCAACCGGAGTAGAGCAGGCTTGCGAGTTAGTCATCCCAAAGACGCTCCAGGATATCAAGAGGTGTCGTCACTTTGGTGAAGGAGAAGGCCGGTGGGGCGAGGCTCAACAGTGACCCCGAGGAAGTGGTGGAGCACACCAAGATCCTTCATAGCAAACTCCTGCTGAAGAGAGGCGATGACACGGCTGAGTAAGGACGGACCGAGGTCTGTGAGGACAATATCATCAACGAGAAGCGGCCAGAGCAGGCGCCTCGGCTCCATGATGATAGATAAACAGGACGATTCGACTTGGCCTCCACAAACCCCAGTGTCAGCAGGAAAGCAGCAAACCGAGAGTACCACGCCCGGGGGGCCTGCTTGAGGCCGTAGAGAGACTTGTTGAGCCGGCAGACCATGTCCGGACGAGAAGAGTCAACAAACCCCATTTGGTCGGGCTGCAGATATCTTGTCTCGGTGAGAGTCCGTGGAGAAAAGCATTCTTGACGCCCGGTGATGCACGGGCCAAGAGCGGCGAGAGCCGGGGAGAGCATCTTTGGCGACGACGGTGGCGGCTTCACCACGGGTGAAAGTCTCATCATAATCGACTCTGTGGCGCCGAGAGTGAAACCGGAGAACCCAATGAGCCTTGTACCCTCTCAAGGGTACCATCAACCCGCCGCCAGTGTGTCGAGATCCACTTGCCGGTGACGACGTTGGATCCGGGTGGACGGGGATCCCATGTCGGTCGGTTGACGAGGAGATCCCGTACTCCTCTTCCATCGCTTGGCGCCAATGAGGGTCCGACAAAGGCGTCGCGAAACGGAAGAGGGTACAGGAGAGATCTGCGGGTCGCCGGGCATCGTCGCGAGAGCCCGGGGGCGAGGGTACCGGCCAGCGTGTCGCGTCACCATAGGGTGAACATGCCGCGGGTGTCGGTGAAGGAGTGGCGGGTGGTACACCGGCGACACGACACGGGCAGCTTTGAGGCGGCGGCGGCGGGTGGGGTCGCCAATGAGAAGGGCCACCGGTGGTGTAGGCGTCACCGGTGAGAGGGGCCCCGGTGGTATGGGAGGCGGTGGTGCGCTTTGCACACTGCAGGCTGGTAGACGACGGCACCTACCGGGGTAAACGCGCAGGAGGTGCGACGACGGCGGCCCCGGACCCGCATGGCGGACGTAGGGGGTGTGTGCTGCGACTCGAGGGCGACGCCCGGACCTGCAGGGCAGGTGAGGCAGGCGCCATCGGTGGGTGGCGAGCGGGGGCACGGGCCGGGGTGAGGGGCACGGGAAGCATTACCTGCAGGAGACAATGTAAAAGTGGTTTGGACCACCGTGTCCGTGGGAAACAGAGAGAAGGTGTCGAGGATCGGGGTGGGAGGTGGTGTGGTGGTGGTGGAGAAGGGAAGACAGACTCATCAAACACCACATGGCGAGAGATGAGGACCCGACGGGAGGTGAGGTCAAAGCACCGGTACCCTTGTGATCCGGGGAGTACCCAAGGAAGACACATAGAGCGGAGCAGGGGAGCCGGCTTGTGGGGAGCGGTGGCGGTGGTGTTAGGGTAACATGCACACCAAGACATGAAGGTGGTCATACCGAGGAGGGTACCAAGAAGAGCGTGGTGTGGTGTGGGAGGGGCAGGCAGTGCGGCGGAAGGTAGGCGGTTAAGGAGATAGGTGGAGGTGTGTGAGACTCTCCGCCTTGAAGCGAAAGCGAAGCGAAGCGCTGGAGCGAGAAGGAGTGCGCGATGGTGTCGTTCGTGGTGCGAATCATGCGCTCGACTTGCTGCTCGGGAGGAGGTATACGGGCAAGACATGCGCATTTGGACACCTTGAGAGAGGAAGAAGGCACGGGAGGTACCGTTATCGAACTCACGGCCATTGTCATTGGGACGGCCTTGATGGTAAGGCCGAATCGAGTAGACACCAGCGAAAAAGTGGAGAAGAGTGGTGAAGGTATCCGACTTTGCACGCAAAGGGAAAGTCCACGAATAATGCGAGAAATCGTCAACCACCACAAGATAGTATTTATACCCAGAAATGCTGATGACAGGAGATGTCCATAGGTCGCAGTGTACAAGATCAAACACATGCGTAGTATGTGAAGAAGAAGAACAAAAAGGGAGACGAACATGACGGCCCAGCTGGCACGCATGACACAAGTGCTCATCGTGAGCCCGAGTACAACCAATGTCGGAACTGCGACTAAGCTGCGTCAGAGCATCACGTCCAGGATGGCCGAGGCGACGGTGCCAAGTGGTGGAGGAAGGAGTGGCGGCGAAGGCAGCTGACAAAGTAGACGGCGACGAAGAGAAAGCAGACGCCGGAAACCGAAGGGTGTAAAGGGGTCCCGTGCTGTCACATCGGAGAAGAGGACGCCGGGAAGCCAAATCCTTTACAGTAAGACCAGAAGAGTCAAATTCAACAGAACAGGAATTGTCAGCTGTAAAACGACGAATAGAAAGAAGGTTGTGAACCATAGAGGGTGCAACAAGAATGTCAGGAAGACAAAAAGAACCATGAGTGCCGGCAGCACCCACGGACGTAACTGGAAGACACGAACCATTCGCGACCATGATGGACGAAGGATGAGAGGAAGGAGGGTAAATAGAGGAGAGTATACCAGGGTCTGGAGTAGTGTGGTAAGTGGCACCCGAGTCGGCGATCCAGTCGGGACCGGCAGGCGGTGTCAGGGCCATGGTGCTGAAGGATCTGGCCAAGGCCGCCGGGTTCCAACCGACAGGCCCGGGCGAGGTGTCGGGAGGTGTCACCCACGAAGATGCGCCGGGAGGTGGAGCCCACGCAGACGGGGAGTGAAACCCCGGAGGAGCTCCAGTGAGCAAGGCCGCTGGTGGGCGAGGCTCTCCGCCTGGAGCCGGGAAGGGCCACATGGAGATGCGCCCCGACCACGGGTTGTGGAAAGAGGGCCAGGGTGCACCCCGTGGAGTCGCGGGCGACTGGTGGCTCCCGGGAGGGACCGGTGTTTGGTGGCCCCCACGGCCCCCACGTCCTCCTCCGCGGCGACGGCGGCCGCCACGCCCCCCCACCCCCGCTCGGCCCGGGGGGAGGAGAACCAAGAAGCGACGACGGCGGTGGAGCGAACGAACGCGCCGGAGGAGGAGAAGGGCGTAAGCGGTCGAGGAAGACAAGGACCTGGCGCGGAGGTGGACCCCTGGTGGACATACGAGTGAGCTCCTCCATGACAAGGTCGCCACGGACTGCAGGAAGGAGGGAAAGGGCCTCTGCCGGGTGATCCACGCCCGGGAGGTGGGCGAAGCGGTCATCGAGCCCGCGGAGGACGTTGAGGACCGTAACGCGGTCCTCCACGGGCCGCCCAAGGTCGCCGAGGAGTCCGCCATGCTCTTCATGCTGCGCCGCGAGAACTTCGCCAACGGAGAGGTCACCACAGACGGAAGGCGCGAAGCTCTTCGACGAGACGCAGGGGCCCAAGCTTCAGATTGCCCTTAAATCGCCCTCGGCGCAAGCCAAGCCCGTGGCGTCGCAGAGAAGTTGCGCGGACGAGGTCGTGGAGGTCCAAGGAGATCGTCCCGAGGATCCAGGAGAGGACGACGCTGTCAAGGCGCAGCCACGATGGGTTCTGGGCCGCGACCGAGGCGTCGACTAGGACGTGGTCGTCGAGGGCGTAGCGGCGGAGGGTGAGGAGGACCAGGTCCCTCCAGCGGGCGTAAGAGGGCGACTCAGGCTCGAGGACGACCGGGACGAGGAGTCGGATGTTCTGGACACCCCCGGCCTGGTAGTGGAGCTGAGCCACGTGCGGGTCGGCCGGGTCGTGCCAGATGACCGCGGTGTGAGACGCGCGGTGACCCGTCGAGCCTGAGGAGGTGGCCGCGGTGTCGTAGGAGGTAGGGAGGACGAGGAGCTGCTCCGCCTCAGCGATCTGGCGGGCCAGGGCATCAGCCGCGTCGCGCTCGCGCTCCAAAGCGAGGGCGGCCGCCCGCACCCGGGCCTGGCTGTCCGCAGCAGCAGCCCGAGCAGCCACGAGGGCGGCGGCGAGAGCGGAGTTGGCCCCTGCCGTCTGGAGAGGGGCAGGGGGCGGCAGAGGAGGAGGAGCGGGGAAGAAGAAAGGCTCCAGGTTCTCCCCCGCGCCCCCAGCGGCAGCGGCGGGGCTGCCTGCGCTCGCGCCCGCCCCTGCAGCAGCGGCGGCGGCGGCAGCGGCCAGGCTGCCCGCGCCCGCCGCCAGAAGCGGCCGGGCCACGCCAGCCTTGGCCTGGCCACGCCAGCCAGCGGCAGCAGGGGCGGCTGGCAGCGCCTGCGCCCGCAGCAGCAGCAGCAGCGGCGGCGGCCGGGCCATCCGCGCCCGCGGCAAGGAGGCCGCCGGCGGCGGCGGCGGCCGGGCCGGCCGCGCCCGCGCGCTGGGCCCAGGAGGAGGGGTAGGGAAGGGAGGGGAAGGCCTGGAAGTAGGTGGGGGAGGGAGGGGGAGGGCGGCCAGCCATGGCGGCGGCAAGAGGCCGGCCGGCGGCGCCTGGCGGCTGGTTGGGGAGAAGAAAACCTAGTCTGATACCATGCTAGAGTTGTGAGAATCCATTGCTAGGCTAACCCTAGAAGGGTAGCAATATATATTAGTCATACATGGGCCTCATGGGCCTAATATACTCATACTCTCATACTCCAACAAAAATAAGTGTCTATGTGCACATTATGGATGTGTAATGTATGTGTTGATGGAACAAACATGTATCTGCCAATTTGTTTGTGAAAAAAAAACTGATAACAATATTCATGATGGTGTAATGGTCATACTTGAGTTTTGTTTCAACAGATAACACTTTATCGTGACAGTTTAGTTGTCATTACACGTTGTTTTGTCCGAAATGACAGCCTTTTCTTCCTTGCAGATACTGGTCTACTCTTGCCAGAGATGTCCCTTTTGCTGGTCTAATGGTAAGTTAATTAATTTAACATATACTCTTGTTTTCTTTGTCCTAACGTTTTTTAGTAAACTTGCTCACTTTCCAGAAGCAATGCCGGTGAGTTTAAGCTAGCTCCTATAAGAAGTCGATACTGCTAAGATTTAACGGAAGCGATAGCCCCCATATTCATTATATATTGACAGGAGTTACAATACCGTGCAACGTTTACAAGCCCAAGACGATCATGCTTACAGAGACCTTGCCAGTCATGACTAGAAGAATAATTCGATCTACCACTATGTTCATGTAGGAGTCCTAGTAGTACAATATTAGCCATACTCTGAGACTTCACGTACATGGCAGCCTGATAGTAATCTGTCAGTCACCACCATAATCATTTTGATTGACATGCCTTTGACTACTGGATAATTCCCAACTCAAGCAATAGCCTTTGGTTCCTGGTCTCATGCTACATAACCGTGATTTGCAAGGGCATTCCTCAGTAGGCAGTACTGCAGTAGCACTGATTATTGGACTCAGGAGATAAACCTAAGTGCATGTAGCCCTTCTAGTCTCTATACTATACATGATTTTTTTCCCCTTCCTTTTGGAGTACACCTCTAACACTTCTGTTGTGGATATCGAGTTTGTCCGATAGATTTGTGTCTTTACTAGATTTGTTATTTAGGTTTTTTTTGGGTGTATTCTAAGCTTACTAATGCTGTGGACAGTAATAGAGATTTACTTTTTAAAAGAATCTATTAATGAGCAAATATATGGCTTTCCAGGTCACTTTCTATGAAGCAATGAAAGAGATGACTGAGTATGGGAAAACGAAGTATTTGCCACACAGTGATTTGGATATCAGCAACTCCTTTGAAGGACTTGTTCGAGGAGGATTGGCAGGCGGTATGTCTACTCTAATATATATATATATATATATATATATATATCTGTTACCTTAATCTCAAGTTTTCTGCCTCTTGGTAGCTCTTATGAGTTTGCTGCTGCAGGCTGTAGTGCATACTTGACTACCCCCTTGGATGTGATCAAGACAAGACTGCAAGTACAAGGATCAACGTCTAAGTACGTGTCAAATCTGGTTCTGTGACTGCTCCCTCTCTCCCTCCCTCCCTCCCTCCCTCATATCTACCATGGAAATCTAAAGTTCTGTCCCTGAATGTTACACACAAATGTGTCTGTTGATGATACATGAACTGTGTAAGTTACAAAATTCATTTTTCATAATTATCAGGTACAATGGGTGGCTGGATGCTATAACAAAGACGTGGGCTTCCGAGGGGGTGCGCGGCTTGTTCAAGGGAAGTGTTCCAAGAATAATATGGTATATCCCGGCATCAGCATTCACATTCATGGCAGTGGAATTCCTAAGGGATCATTTCAACGACAAGGTTGATGCCGATGCCCATGAACTAACCTCCCTGTCAATCGACACAAGATCAGAAGTTGAGAAATCAGCTTAATGTTCCTTTTCCTATGAAGCGTCCTGATATTCCTGCCTGGTGGAATTTATCTGGCGGAATCTTTTTTTTCTTTGGCAACAAAGTAGGTTTCAGTCATGTAAACACGGAGGACATTCACTGTCAGTTGGGTGAAAACATTTTTGTGTACCAGAAATTAAGGAACTGATAACATCATGATCATATTAGGGCAGCAGTTTTTTGAGTTAGAAACTGGTGGGTGGATGGAATTAAAGAAGTGAACATGTAATGTTGACCAATGCACCCAGTGGACTGGGGCTTCTGAATCTTTGTTGCAAATGTTATTGCCATTGTTGCGTATTGAAATCATTGTTTTGATTTGGCAGCTTTGCCATAAATCGTATTTGCGCAGCGCAGTCTAATCGGTTGCAAAATTCATCCATCAAGCTATGGGAAGTACTTGTACTTTCCTAGATCCGGGTGCCGACCCCTGCCTTCAGCCGTTCAGTAAGCTGCCGTGGCTGTAACGACTAATGACTGATGGTAGTCCAACTGAGTACTGACCACACCCCCAACTCCCAAGTCAAACTTTCAAAAAAAAAAAACTCCCAAGTCAACTCCACCGGCCGCAGCGCTGCTCTTCTGAGTTCTGAGTAGTGCGCGCGGCGTGGTCTCCGTTCGAACCGAGGCCCAGCTGCTGGATCGGATCGGCATCGGCCGCCACGGCTCGCGGGTGAGACGCTGCGCTGCCTACTGAGGACCTGTTTGAATGGAAATATTTCCTGTTTCTGTGAAATTAAGCTGATTCCTGTAAAATTCCTGTCTGATCCTATGAAATTCTTGTGTCCAAACAGGGCCTGAAGGTCGCCTGAGGCGTGAACGTCCTGGAGGCAGCCAACCTACCCCACCCGGTCCAGCGATCCCGGCGCCGGCAGCGCACGAGAGGAATGGACGCGTCGCACCCGGAGGGCGAGGCCGCGGCGGGGTGGGTGACGATCGAGGAGTGGAGCGGCTCGTCAGCCTCCGCGCTCTCCCGCACCGCCGTCCTCACCGCCTCCGCCTCCTCTCTCACCGCACACAGGTGGCCTCTCCCTCCCTCCCTCTGCTTCGTCCCGAGCTTCGCTCCCTTCCCCAGTCATCTGACGTGCGCACGTGCTTGTGTTGCTCGCTTGGGCTACCGCAGGTTCGGCAGCCGGTGGGGGCGGATCGGCAGCCGCATGCTCGCCGCCTTCGTGCCTGAGGTGAGTGACTGGCACGCGCCGCCTCCCAAGCCCCACTCCAGCTGTACCAATCTACGCAACACCGTGTACTACTACTGATAAGCACGTCGTAATTCCTTTAACTTCGTGTTGTCGTCGGCAGCAGCTGTATCTGTTCGAAATGAACTTCGCTGCTCAGTGCTCTTCTCCATTGTTTTTGCTTGGGCCGGTCACTGTGACTGATGAGCGAGCCTTTGTATTGCCTTGCCAGGGATTTCCTGGGAGCGTGACTCCGGATTATGTCCCGTTCCAGATGTGGGATACGTTGCAGGTAAGATTACCTGCACGACGTGAGCTGTCTCTGGAATCATGCTGTTGTATTCACACCTGATTACCATGGTAAAAACTAATGCTACCCTGTGCTTGGTTATCGACTGTCGGCCTGTGCGCTGTATCTTGCTCTAGGGGCTCTCCACATATATCCGTGCAATGTTGTCTACACAAGTAAAATTTTCTATTCTATCTTTACAATCTCCTGACTCGCTCTGTATCTACACGCATATTGTTTGGTTTGTGCATTTCTAAATTTGCTGTCTTCTGGAATGAACTGCTCCAGGCTCTTCTAGGTGCAATTGGTGTGGGAGAACAGTCCGCAACTGTCATAGGTGCTACTTTTCAGGTAGATGTTGGGCAAATCCATTAAGCATTCAGATCTATGCACACTCATCTGATGGTAGGGCAGATTAGATAAACTTATTCAACACATAGTCCAGTTGCATCTAATTTTTCTGATATATAGTATCCAACATGACAAGGATTATTTTTGATCTAATGCCATTTTGATATCTAGCAACCTTCCAAGGAATCATGTGTCGCTGTGGGTTACTCGGCACAAACTTGACTCTATAGATTATAAAATTCCAAATTCCCCTGGCCTTTGTGAAAGTTCTCTTCCTTTTGTTAGGCTAATGTTGTAATGTTGGTTTTTTTTCCTTATTTTTCCCCTAACATATGCAATTCTGGCAGTGGTTTCTGAGGGACTTGACAGGAATGCTTGGAGGGATATTGTTCACCTTTTATCAGGTATTCAGTTTTCTGATGTATTACGATAAACGCTGATCTTGTTACTGAAGCTTTGATCAGACGCCATTGCTCCTTCAAGGCATCCTTGTGAATATTAGTTCTGAACTTCTGATATACTTTGTCCAGCCAGCATATCAGACTCTGTATTCATTTTCTGTGCCTTCTTTCCCACCAGGGATCTAATCTTGATATCAACGCTAAAATGTGGCGTCTAGTTGCAGATTTTATGAATGACCTTGGTAATGTTCAATTGAAACCACTAAATTCAGTTACTTTGCCCTTTTCATTTCACTCCCATGGCACAATTATTACATTCATGCCAAGTTAGATTGTTCTGTTTTTCTCTTAATTTATTGTACTAATTGTTCTTGAAAGTTCAAGTTACATATAATCTGGAATATCAGGAGAACATCTCTCCCTTATTTGCTTAGTGTCAGTGAATCATTTACATTTTGTTACCTGTGCAGGAATGTTGATGGATCTCTTAAGCCCTCTGTTTCCTTCATCGTTGATAGTTATAATGTGCCTAGGCAGCCTATCTAGGTCATTCAGTAAGTTTCTTAATTCCAGAAGTCAGAACTCATGATGGGGAACTTTCTGAGTTTTGGGGGCTAATTTGTCATTTCTATCTTCTAGCTGGTGTTGCTAGTGGAGCAACTAGAGCAGCACTAACACAGCATTTTGCACTTGCAAAGAACGCAGCTGATATTTCTGCAAAGGTAACCTACGATATTCTTCAGAAATTTGTAGATTCCTTTTGGTATTATTTTCTTTAATGAAGCAGCACAAGCATACTCAACTTTTCAGGAGGGCAGTCAGGAAACACTCGCTACAATGTTAGGGATGGGATTGGGGATGCTGTTAGCTCACATTACTAGAGGGCATGCTTTGAGTGTATGGACATCTTTTCTTTCTCTCACGGTGTTCCATATGTATGGTGAGTACTCTTTTATTCTTCCATATGTTTAAAACCGAAACAGATTTTGAACTTTTCCTACTTATTATCTCCTTGTCTGGCTTCTAAATTCTTGTGGCGCTGAAGCATAGCCTATTTGCTAACACAGTCTAAATCTGCCCCTACATGCAAAGGTCAGGAAACAGACATTAGAAAGTCTTGCAGAAGCAAATGGAAAACAACCATACAATATTTTGTCGATTGCATGAATTATAGAGTGAATATGTTCACTGGATTCTTTCAATTAAAATGCAAGAAATTTCTCTTAGAGCTTGAATTTCGTTGGCATGTTGTGCTTTGGATTCTAGACCTTGACTCCTAAACACTTCCACTGGGCTGTGCTTTCATTAAATTAAATTTTAACTCCATACACAAAGAAAAAAAAGTTCATCCCATGGTTATACCTGCACCTATCCGACTATCCCATACTTCTGTGTGAAATTTTTTCCTTAGTATATCATGTTTGTTGATGCTTCAGGGATTTAGTTTTGAGAAGCATTTCTTGACATACTTCCACTTGTTTTGTTTTTGATGATCCAGCAAATTACAAGGCAGTGCAGTCACTTTCACTCACTACGCTAAACTATGAGAGAGCTTCCATCTTGCTACAGTACTTCAAGGAATGTGGTGAAGGTGAGTGAGCTCCTTTCCTTGCGGTCATTATTGGTATTGTTTAGTACTTATCAAGCATGTGATGTATCTTTATGATTGTTGAATGATAATTTTTTGTGGCAATCTGTTAAAATATTCATGCAAAATGTTCCATGATTTTATTCCTTTTCTTGATTGCACTTTTCCTAGTTCTTGCACCGCAAAAGGTTTCTCAGCTGGAACATATTCTTCCTTTTTGGTCAACCTGGAGGAAATTAAACAAAATTAAACTGCCACATGAGCGTGTGCACTTAGGTGCTAAAGCCTCGATGCTTACACACAGTGACATGTGAGTTCTATGTTTTGGTAGATTATATGTTCTTCAATAGTCAATATTTGGGGATCGAAGACAGATTTTTCACACGGTTCGTCACATTTGATAGGTTGGTGATTGCAAAAACAAGATCCCACTATGAAAACAGTAAGTTTATGCCTTGGTTAATGTAACACAGTATAGAACTTTGCTGACTCTTTTTCTGCTTCCCGAATTTATGCAGCAAACTACCTTTTGCTGGATAAACAAGGCAGTGTTTACGTTTTCATCCACAAGCAGGCAACACCAGCTGATGTTTTAAGGTCCTTCGTACATGGGCTCGTGTTAGCAAGTTCGACACAGACCAGCAAATCTCAGCACTTAGAGGCCCGTCGATGGATGGACGAGATGTATACCAATTTTATCTCGAAGGTAAAGAGCATTGTGCATCTGAGATGTTCGAGTTCAGCATTTTTGTGATATCTTGCATGCGGCTTTTCACACAATGAAATCTTCATTTTCTTTTCTTGTAACAGCTGCAGAGTGAAGGTTACTCAACAGAACGCCTTTTGTCGCATTCGATTCTTTGGAGGGCACACTGGCTTCACGGCCAGCATGATGAGAAGCTCAAGTAGGGGAACACAACACGATTGCATTTGCTTATTCAAGGGCAAAGTAGACAGGTATATCGCCCAAGTCACGATCAACTAGGGTGAGGGTGAGAACGTGTTAAATGTTGCTCGAGCATGACATGATGAAAGAGAGATGTATGAGTTTCACCAAAACAACTAAATATCGTTAACCGTTCGAGAATGTAGCACGGACTTCACGATAGAAGTGCTGGCCTGTACGCCCAAGTTCAGCATGCTAATGGTTCACACTACGTACATCCTTACCGCCTAACAGGAAATCCAAAGCAGCATTAATCACTACACACAGACCAGTCTAGTACCGTTTGTTGAAGCAATCCTAGAAATCACTGTGCGGGGAACTCTTCACCACATACAACGCACCTACAGGAGATGCTCTAGTTATCGAGATGACCACCTGGCGATGCTGCCAACGGCCCTTTCGTAGGCATCGCCGCCCGACCTCCGATGGATGCGCAGACGCATCTCGCCTCACCATTCCCATGACCTGCGCCTTTGTTCAAGGCAATTCGACCATTCACATTCGACTTTTTGATGGCGGTTTCTGCAGGAGAAGGCCCTTGACACTCTCTCTTTCTCTGATGCATCTGTTTCTCGGGTGTCTGCTCCTGAAACTTGTCGGGCAAATGTGCAGACATAGGCCTGGAAATTTCAGTGCTGTCTGAAGGCCCACTGTACAGGTCTGAAAGCCGCCTGATCTTTGGAAACTCTCGCTCCTCTGAATTTTCATCTTGTTCAATTTTCACCTGTACATATGAAAGGGTAATTCTGATTTAACGACGAAAACAAATGTATGATTGGGGGATTTCAGACCTCAACACTCAACAGAGCATACGCAAGCACAGAGCACCATTGAAAACTTGTATGCATAGACAGCACCCATCTCGGATACATCAAGAAATCATGTCAGCCCTGAATGTAAGTCAATGTATAGAAATGCAGCCACTTAAAACACTGGCCAATTAATATAATACTAACATGAGACAAATAGACAGTGGCTACCACCACAAATTTGAGTAAGAAGAATACAATACTATTAGCAGCATTTTTTTTCTCGGACACGCAAGAGAGCCGCGTCCATTATTTAAGAAGAAGAAACTATTAGCAACACATGTACTACATCCAATAAAAAATTTTTTACATATTTAATGCTTGTAGTGTTTAAGGCTTGACTAAATCTTGTCCTAAATGACAAGTTTTTTGTGACTGGAGGACAAAATATTATAAGAATTCAATAAACAAAAAAAATTGGTGAAGTACAGGGTATTTGGTGAAAAACACAGGGTAAACAAATGCGTACCTCATTGTCTGCGATTTTCATTTCATCTCCTTTCCCAGACTTTACCACTGCAGATGCAGCAGCTGCCAAAGAATATAGTGTGGGCTTATCTGTGGACTCGTCGACAGCAGGCAGCCCAGGCTCTTTCTTCACTGCATGTAGTGGAGTAAATCCAAGTGGAACTCCCATTTTAACAGGCCTTGGGGCATTAAGAGAGAACCTAACGAAGGGCTTCTTTTGAGTCCCAGGGGTCGAAACACAAGCTGGTCCAGCAGGTGAAATTGCAGGAGGGAGTCCACGATGAGCTTCAGTAAAGCCTGGAGGAATATCTGTAGGAAATCCTGGAGGAACATCAGCATAAGTCAGAGCAGCAGTACTGATCTGAAGCTGACAGTGAGCTTTTGTGAAGCCAGGAGGTACAGGAGAAAATTCAGGAGGTATGTCCAGAATGAGGTCAGGGCTAACCAAAGATCTGTCAGCAGGCTGACATGCAGAATCTGTAAAAAAAATGTAAAAGTCAGAAAAAAGCTAACAAGATAATGAACGTTGGTCAAAAAAGAACTTAGAGCAACCAGTGGGATAGTGTGACCTTCTAAGATAGAAGTGCTATTTTTTGCAGAGTCATGACGGCAACATCCGTAAGAAGTAGCAGGAACTGAGCAACTGGATGCAGGGTTTGAATCAGGAGTTCCTAGCACTGCCATGCAGTCATTGACCCTATCAGAATCCTCGCCTCCTGTTAAATCCAATACCTTGGCACCACCCTCATAATTGTCCCTAACTGTCTCTCTATTTCCTGTGACATCTGTTGGATTGCCTCCATTTGCACCCAATGTCATGCCAATATCAGATTCAGCACTCTCTTTTTCTTTGCCTTTTGTCACATCCAATTTCATGCCTATCTCCTCATATTTATTACATGAGTCATTTGGTTGACTGGGATTGCTGATCTCCACATTTTTTATATGACTGTTTGGCTGGCATGTCTTCTTCCTGATACACTTCCCAAAAACACCCCAAAAATATAATTTGCCATTTTTTCCTGTTATATGATAATAATAGTTCATAAGTTAGATGATAAATTTACACTTGCAGACCCCCAATTTTTCAAAGATATTAGCAACTCTTTAGTTTTTCCTAACATGTCCATGCAAACTCAATGTGCTCAAAGCTATCTGACTGTATAAGTCCACAATAGCAACAAAACCATCAAGTGAGTATTAAAAATTAAAAAAAGGATTGGTAAAAGAGAACGTAAGCTTACAAAAAACACTAGTCTATGTCAATCACGGTGAAATTCGTAAAGCAGGTTATCCTTTTTTGTCGGGAAACAGATTATTCTTGTTAGAACAGTAAAAGGATGAGAACGTACTCTGATCTTGTGGTGTAAGCAACTTCGACGAAAACACTGCCAATTCAGTATCACCAATTTTGGTGAACAGGCCAAGGCCATGTGAACAAACTTTTTCAAGAAGCTGATCGAAACTCCAGTGCGGTCTGTAATAAGAAATTGTTAAGCTAACCAGAGAGTGCATGCATGGAGCAGAGATACTAATAAATAACAAGGGTTTAAATGTACACAAGCATCTGCATGATTTCAAGAACAGACGGAACGTTTTAACATTTATGTGATAGCAAGTTAGAGACATAGCAGTCAATACAAGTGTAATTGACATACATGCAACTTGGAAGTTACTTGACCAGAACCACTACAGGTGCTTCTTACAAATTTAAAAGCTACACCTATTAGAGTAAACGTACCTTTCGTGACTGCTTACAAACCATAGTCCAATATCCTTACTGTCGGGGGGTACCATCTTGAATTTTTTTGGCCACAGCTGGGAAAGAGGTACTGCCTCTAGATTTAAAATTTCAGGCATTTGGTTTGAAGCTTCATAAACTCCGACAGAAATTTCTAAAGGGAAATGGGCTTCAATTCCATCACAAGTATGTATCAGTCCTCCAGTAACATGAAATTTGCCCCTAAAAGAAAAATGGAAGCCTGATGTTAGTGGTTAATTGAAAGGAAAGTACATGGATACTAAAATAGGAAAACTATTACAGACTACACGACATAGCATTAAAAAGTGGCACTTCCATATTACAGGAGAAGGTATCATTATATTGCTTGAACATTCTATTTGCTTATTGCATAGATGATTTCTATGATGTACAAAATCAAGGCGTTAAGATTTAGTTTCACTGCCTAATAAAAAACAAGGTTCATGGTTTATAGCACAGTCAATCAGTAACGTTTTCGTTGAAAGGGATGGGCAGTTCATGTCATTAGAATATCAAATGTGGGAAGATATTAGTGTGATATCTATGAGATTTGGACTTGAGACCAAAATCAACTTCTGTTCAATTCGGTGGCAACAATATTCAGGGAACGGGCAAACTTTGGTGGTAGAGAAATAAAATCTGCCTGTTAGGACGAAGCTGAGAAAAATCCTGTATATACTATCCATAAAATAGGACTGGTTATACCCATACTGCAATACATGCATGCATACAAAAAGAAGAAAAAATGCACTAGCCTATACTGCTTACTTCCAGCAGGCTTCTGATTGATAATGTTTCTTCTGCAGCTTCGTATGTAAGATTAATGGTGCACCTGTTTCCAGAATATACATGTTATGATGAGATTCTGTAAAGAAAAAATTAACACTAGGAAACGAAAACCATTCACTGTACAACTGTACATGCTCTATGCACTGAACTTAAATGGCCAAATACTTTCTGTTCTGTAAAATCTTCTTTTCTTATTAATAACAATGGAAAAACAAGCAAGTACTATAACTCTGCATTCCATGAAGGCACAAGGAGAAAATTAAAATGAGCTATCAAACAAAAGGATAAGACTAAAAAAGAACTGTGGCGAAGGTACTTAAAAAGTATACTTATCGGATACACGCATGAATATTTCAGGCATAAAACACTAATTTGAAGGAAAACAAATGAACTAAAACAACCAATTAGCACTGTTATAATAAAACTGCAGCCTGAGTTGCAGTGTTGTCAGCTGGCTGAATGGCAGCAATATGTTTTTAGGTTTTACCTAAAATAGTAACCCACCTCATTATAGTCACCCTCACCCCTCCCAAAAAAAAAAAAAAAAAAAAAACTACCTACTAACAGCCTATAAAGAAATTCACCAGCAAGGTCATGAGTAAGTGAAAGGTAAACTTAGAATGCATGTCTTTCACAAGAATTTTTCCGAGTTGCTATCACATATTAGGATCATCAAATACCTGAAGATCTGCCATGGCTAATTGATGCCCCTGAGTTTCTTTTTGACGATGCACCATGTTGCAGAGAAGCAATGGACTCACGACTGTGTTTTGAAGGAACCTTTTGGCACTGCAGCATGACCAAATTGCATTATTTTTGTTTAAAAAAACTGATCTAAGATTTGGGCTTGATCTAGTAGTAGTATTATAATATACCTCTGTGGAAGATTCATGGTGCACAGGTATTGGAGTTAGCAACACAGGCTTCACACTAGGTTCCTGTGTTATGGGAGCAGCAGTTCTTGTATCAGGATAAACCTCAACAGATCTTTCACTAAGCACAGATGTTGGGCTTAGCAATGTAGGCTCCACAATAGGAGCTTGCAAGACAGGAACTGTAGTACTTGTAGTTAAATTGATGTCTCTACTGCACAACTTTCCACTCTCAGGTGTGCACACACTCTTAGAAGGTCCTGCCTTTGTAACAAGAGGATTGTCACTTGGATGTGGAGCACCAGTTTGCTTGGGACTAGGAAACATAGGATTTGTCACTACCTCTTTTGGCAAACTACCAGACATTTTTTCACTGTTCTGGCCTTGAGAATGCAAAATACTCAAACTGGAGCACCTGGCAAGTGCTTGTGTACCAACCATTCTGTCTAGATTTCTAGGAGTAGCATCGGTATTCAAATTAGTACTCGGTTGTGAGGATTTGTAACTTGGTGATGCAAGGTTCTTTAAAGAAGAAATGCAGGGAGTGACAGAGCTACTTATGTGCCCACCGGCAGATGGGTCCCTATTTTTAGCTGTCTCAAGCCTCTTACAGGGTAAACATGAGTTATAGGATGACTCTGATGGCATAGGATTTTGAGCGAGAGATCTGGATCCCAGAAGAGATACTCTACGTGAACTTGGAGGTGGTGTGACACTTCGTCTGCAATGTCTTTTCTGTGACCCAGCTGACCCAACAGTTCTACCATATAGTTTCCGATGCTGTAAATAGGTAATGTCTTCTGCAGGAATCAGCTTCATTCTTGCATCAGGTTTTGAATATGTACCACCAGAAAATCTAGCCATCTTGAGCTTATCTTGAGAGTTTGGTTCTACAATTCCCTTGGTTGTGGATGTTGCCTCATTACCGTGCTGCATTTGGTTATGTCTGGATCTAAAATAAAAAATAATGTTATCAATCGGCAAATCAAATATGGCCAGAATCAACATAAGAAACTGAGATTTGGCACAGAAATGCATTAATTTCACAGAATTCAGGTAACAATCTGCCAACAGTCTACACAGACAACAAATATATGCATAATTATATGATGCAATGGTTCCCTGATTCAGTAATTATAGAGAAAATAGGAAGCATAAAAGATAGAACAAGTTAGTACACCGTATGTCAATACATCTTCCAAAATAAGGAGTCAGCTACAGCCGGAGTTTTAGAGAACACTTAACAAAAAGGAAAAAATAGAAACATGTAAGTGTAGTGCAACTATTTTCTCAGAATCTCAGTATAAAAAAGCAATATCATCAAGCATATATCAATTTCGTATCTTATCATATACAACAGTATTGAACCTTGAACATTTAAATATAGTCCATTCACAATTCCTAGTTTACTTCGGCCAAAACTGATATATGTTTGTTATTTAGGAGTAGTTCTATACAATATGTCAGTGTAACATTTATTCCACCACCACCACCACCACCACCCCAAAAAAAAATTATGCTAATTGACATGATGAAAGAACAAACTTATATGAGGATTGTTATATGGGTTAATGGAGAACTGAAAATTCATTGGGTCGATCAATTTAAAGACAAAGTTGTAGGCAGTCGATATGTGCTAGCTATCCACAAAATTGTTGAAAGTTTGCCACAAAAAAGGGCAGAGATGTTAAGAAAGCAGTATAACAGTCCTGCTAACAAGAGCAAATACAAATCACATTGATCAACAGGATATCTTCAAGAAAATTTTCAAGCTAAAATGCAAACAAGCACAAATGAACCCATTTACATTTTTTTGTGCATAATACAAGCACGAAGTTCAGTAAGGGGGAAGTATACCTTGAGTCTTGCCTGCACTGACAGCGGGCATTATTTCCTGAACCGAAAACACATGTTGCACAAAATGTGCCCTGACCCTGAGTAGAGCAACGCAAATGAAAAGCTGTTTCAAATACAGGATAGGGTACATGTATTCCAAAGCATCATAGAAGACACAAAAAACAACATAAATATTAACAGCGAACATTTGTGTAAGACGGTCAAATCCAATTCAAGAGGTGAATTTAATTTCTTCAGTTATCCGCATGCCAAAAACCAATTGATGGATAAAACAGAGATGCTCTGCTGGAAGCCCGCAAGACAATCATGTACGAAAGCATAACATAAACGTGAGAGCTAAGAGCAGGATCACATCACAGACACTACTGTCTAACTAATGGAACAGATGACGTCGCACCAGTAAATTTCACGGTAACAAAAATAATCCGCATAAACTACCAATATAAAAGATAAAAAAAGCAACAAATTCGGTGAACCAGTGGCATCAAAACCACATCTGCAGCTACTAGTACACACAGGACATGACAGCGTTACAAAAACAGGCGGCGTTGCGCAATCTATAGGCGAGGGATCATGAGGAACAACAAGATAACTCCTAAAAGGTACAAAATAAAATATTTCCTCGTTGTTCCCCGCACCCCGCACACGCAAGCGCGAACACAAAACCCTCGCACGGAAAACAGAAAGCAAGAGCATCTCAAGCAAAAAAACATCTCATTTCACTCCACCCCAACAAAACCCCACCGAAGGGAACCGCGATCGGCAGGACGATTTGAGGAAAAGCAGCGCGGTCGCGCAGAGAGGAGGGAGTGGGGTCCGATCACCTGTGCGGCCTTCCGTGGCGTACCGGGGCGGCGAGCAGCCGGCGTCGTCGGAGGCGGCGCCGGGTGGGAGGTGGGGGCGAGCCTACTAGGGTTCGGTGGCTGCCTCTCCACGTGACCCATTGGTGGATTCCTCCCTCGATCGCAAGTTCGCCGCGGTGAGGGGCGGAGAAAGAGGGTTTTGCTCGCGTGGTGGGGGTGTGCAGAGTGCAGTGCACAAGGAGCATGAAAGCAGTTTTCAGCAGCAGACGACGGGGTGGCTCGCAACAGAGAGAATGGGGTTTCGTCGGCCTCCGGAGGGACGTGATGGGTCCGCAAGGCGTGGGTCCATCTGTCAGTGGAATGTGTTCGTTGCGGAAGGCGTGCGTGCCCGCATTTCCTGATTGAGAAGCGGGCCCCACGTTCCTCGCGGGCTCGTCGGGCCTTCTTCGGCATCGGGGCATCGGGCGCTACATCTGCAGATCCACGGCTGGTGATTAGCATGCATGCGAGACAAGGGCGCTGACGGTAGTGTGACCAGCTGTCATCCGAAGTACAATGCGGGTAGAAACGCTTGCTGGCTGCTTTGATCGGAAGCGGAAGGGCCGCCGCGTGACACGCGGCAGGATTGTTGGAATGGACGATCAACAGCACACTTGCAGGTAGAACCCCTTTCGTTGATGAATTATTTAAGACCCCATTAAACGCAGAAATTTTATAAGAATGGTACAGAAAAGTTTTATCAGTTCGTTTTCATAAGAAAGAATAGGATAGAAAAGAATTTCACGTTCCAAATGGGACCTAAGCAGGCAAAGTTTACTGATTGTGATTGAACGATCAATGAGGAAACTGAGGTGGTAAATAGAGTGATAAAATACCGGCTATTGGGAACATTTACTCGTGAGTGAGCCAGTTCAGGCGTTCACACCTAGTACGCTCGTGGGTACTGTGCCATCACACCAATCAAATCAAAAGAACTAGAAACCGCAAAGGTGCTATCACTCTCGAGGGTAACATGGAACAAAGGTAGGTGAAGTCTGGGTAGGAGGAAAGAGAAGATGATTAAGAGTAACCGTGACGTAGAGTAGATACGATTTCTTATGGTTTGGACATCAAGCATACTACTTTGTTTTTTTTCAGACAATGATATACTACTTTAGCCGTTAACTAAAATTATAAATTGCATGTAAAATGCAATAATATTATGTATAAAGTGCTTTAAAAACTGAATCTGGCTATGCTATTTTTACAAGCCGAATCATATATAAATATATGTTCGTGGTCAAAGTTACTTTGATATTAATACTAGTTACTAGAGTAAGTTATACCTACCACAATCAATTATATATGTGGTTGTATCAATTTAATTCAACAAGTTAAAATGCGTAAATGGACTGTGTCTTCGCCTTGATCTCCTCCACCCCGTGTGCACCCCACTTGCACTACTACTGCCTTCCCGGGACCGCTGACATGGTCGTGCCACCGCAGTTCGTCGTGGAGCTTGCCGTGTGCGCGTGGCCAGACGCACCCAGCCCGTCCCCAGTCAAGCCACCGCCCTAGGTAGCTTCGGGGTGAGTTGCTGATGCCCATCCTTTGGTTCGTTCACTTCGTTTGTGCCTTGGCCCATGGGAACATGGCTGCCGCCGCCGTAGGGTGTCCTTCGCCGTGGAGGGAGCTCTTGACCGCGTCTCTGTTCATCGCTTCACCACCTACCGCTTTGTGTTTGCATATAGGTGAGCATCGGCTCGTTATCGGGGGCGGGGAGGGGCTAGGGTGGCTGGCGTGAGTGCCCAATGCCGTCGTCGCCGTGCGGGTGCCCGGGGACCTAGCCGTTGTGAAGATAGATTGTTCCGAGGGCTAGATTGCTTAAGTCCAGACTGTAGAAATAGTGTTGTGGACTGCGGATTGATTCGGTACTAGCGTAGGGACGTTTTCGCAAATGTACCGAAGCACGCGGGCCTCCCCGTTGCGGGCCGTTGCTGCGTGGTTGGGCCACGCCGGTGGGTCACGTGCGCGCGCGCTGCGCGTGCGTGGGCCGCGTCACTCGTAGTGGGCCGCGCGGGTGGGATTTGGTTTTCCTTTTTCCAGAGAATTAGTAAATGTTTTTCTAATTTAGTTTTGAGCTGATCTTTGGAAAATTATAGTAAATGCTGTAAGTGTCCAAAAATAGTGAAACAAAATTTATCAGGCTCATAAAAATATGATCTATCTGCTGGTGTAGTTAGTTTACAGTTATCTATGATAGTGATAGATTCATTAATTCATTTAGGAAGGCTTAGCATTATTTAGATTATTAATTGTATGAATTTTTATGGTAAATTGGTAATAGCTTTGACCACGAAATTTTTACAGTAGGTTCATTAGATTATTATGTGCTCACTGTAATTTTTATAGCCTTAGAATAGGTTGATAAATATGGTAGCTAGTACTCCTTGTTTTATTATATATATAGTAAATCGATATTAAAAGTGAGAATGCCTTTAGTTGCTAAGTTAATATATGAAATGTTTCATACCTTTTTAGTGGAAATGATAGACAACTTAACGTCTTAGTCGGTAGAGCTAACTTAGTAGTTTGATAAATGTATTCTTATTTAAGAATTGTTGTTGTCTTATTATTAAGTGTTGCATCATCATTTCATGCATGTAAATAATGAGTTGGTAGAGTTCGTGTCTGCGGGCGAGCAGGAGTACGAGGAGGTCATCGAGGAGTATGAGGAGAAGATTCTCATACAGGAGGGAGCCCTGGAGCCATCAGTTGTTGACTTTGTTGACACCCCGCCTGCCCAAGACAAGCCCCGATGCATAACCCTTATTTTGAATGATCACTAAATATATATATATATATGATGTGCATTTATGTTACATGCATTTTATGGAAACTACATGCATAGATATACCTACCTATGAGTCCTACTAGCATAGGGCGAGTAGTTGCTATTCTCATGATTTTGGTAGCGTGAGTCCTACTAGCATAGGGCGAGTAGTTGCTATGCATAGATTATTATCACTCATGATAAAAATGGTGAAAGGAAAATGGAGACAGGGCAGGGATATGGTTCGGGTATTGGTAGGTGTAAGAGGTTGTGTCCTGCGGCCAACAGGGCATAGCTTGGTTACACTGTTTTCCTGTCTGTGTCGGTTAAGGACCGACCGTTGTATTGGGTTCTAAACAAGTCATAGACTTATTATCTCAAACACATATTTGTGTATGGGCGCAGGAAAGGCTCATTGCTCTCTTGTCGTGGGTTCTGGCTCTTTCTGGACCGACTGGTTGGGGGCGGGGATGGTGGAGGTCTAAACACCGCACTGAGTCCGGGACTCAGGAGCGGGGGCTTAGAGTTCAAGTTTGGATGGGGACCTAGACCCCATGACAGGAGAGTGGTGGGTTGGTCCTGCTTGTGCCTAGGGTACAAGCGGGGTATGTGTTTCGGGGTACCCAGCTGGGCACATTGATTCGTGAATCGCCGGTGATCCGGTATGGCTTGTTTATAGTCTAGCACCGTAGTAAGAACTGAAAGATGAAAGGTGGTGAAATAAAATTGTTTGCTCAACTCCTGCTTGAAAGTAGAACATGTGCTTACATAGAATGGCTAGATAATGAAATAATCATGACTGCTAATAATAAACATACATAAGGATGCACTATTAGTATTGCTTTCTGCAAAAAGGAACCCAGCAAACCATAAAGCTTATCATATCCCTTGGAGTCGAGAAATTATTCTCACTAGTCGGATAAGTCTTGCGAGTATATTGTGTACTCAGGGTTTATTTATCCCTATTGCAGGTGCAGCTTGAGGAGTAGCCATTGTGTGAAGGATTTTTCTGATGGACACAGACGGATCCTTATATATTATCGATAGATGTTTCTTTCCATTCTGCTGTTTAATTTCCGCACTCTGAATTGGTCCTGTAATAATGTATTTCTAAGAACTCTAGATGTATGAAATGGACTAAGTAATGTAAACACGTTCTCATTATTAGATCCTGAGGGGAAAATGTGGATCATTCGGGCTCTCCCTTGAGTGTGATCGACGGAATCCGCTCGATGTAGCTCGCTCTCGGGGTGCTTAGTGTCTAGTGGAACACGCCTCCATAAGTGCGTTATTTCGGGCGGTTTTGCCATAATGACCGCCTTTGTAAATCCAATTAAAATAAAAAAATTATCCTATCAGGCTAGGTGTTGTTGGTCATCGTGGATTCCCTGTTGCCAAGTCTGCCATTACTGTTTTGCAACACATGTGGCCGCCGAGCCCACTACATACCTAGCTCACCCTCCATCAGCTACCTCACATATTTGCTGATAGGGAGGAAGATCAAAGGAGGTGGATCCAAATCGAATTTGATGAACTCACCTACTACAACTCAAAGATTGAATTTGTCACCCTCTAGATCTAAGCATCTCATGTGCATCCCTATGTTGGATCTATGGCATACTCATCAAGGCAGGAGGTCGAAGCCAAAGTAGGAGAACACCATAGGATACTAGTATAGGAGGGGGACAACGAGGTGGTGTATGAGGATAATGCATGATATAGTACACATAAATGCTAAGTTCAGATGATAATGGGTATTTGACATATGGTCTGTCTAAAACTAACATGCCAATAATTATATTAGCTCGAATATGAGGGCACGCTAATGATTGGGAGGTTCAAAACTTTCATTCAAGATAGATTTTGGCCATGGTAATGTAGTGTATACAACAAGGTGACCTACAAGCTTTGATAACTCATGATATGGATTTGATAGGAAATTTGAGTTCGTTGTCAGTCATATATATATAAATAGAAGTTATGTTCACCCATCAGCATATGCATATTTTGATACTACAACTGTTGTATATGTCACCCGTGCTTCTGTTATAATCAAACGTGGTAGAATCAAGCCATATGGTTCATATAAGCAACTAAATAATGAGCAATTGTAGTTTTGAAGTTACCTGATAATCCATATAGAAGGACTATCGGTAAGCACAAAACTCAGTTGCAATGACACGTGGAACGAGCTCTAAGCTTCTTCCTAGAGGGCATCTGCTCCATGACCGGACCTTCTTACTCTCCATATTTAGGCTTAGCACATGCTCACCTTTGGTCGTGACGTGTCCATCCACATAGTCAATGTCACTGAAGAACAAGGACACCATGTTTGGTTCCTTCAGGCTCAGGACAGGGCACATGGGCACCTACTGCTGCAAGCCTAGAATCGTAATGAACGTCTCATCAGCCTAGAGATCCATGATAAGAAGCTCGACGTCACCATCTTTCCTCCACTCCCATAAGCCAGGTGCCTACAGGGTCCAAGAGGTCATGTTGATCTTGTCCTTTGGGCAGTCATGGTCATCGTAGCCATCAATGGAGAGGAACTTGATGACTCCATTGACGCAGCCCATGGTGTTGTGCACCACCGCTGACATCCACGGCGCTGGCGGAAATTCCCTCACGTTCGGCTCTGGCAGAGGCACCAACTGTAGCTGATCATCTAAGAGCACATTGAACGCCACCATTCCGAAGTAGAGGTCGACCCAACATGCCCAAGATTCCAATAATGCGAAAGATACATCTATCATGAAGTATTGGAGCACCTCGGAGGGGAAGTTCACCTTCTTCTATACCCACCGCTCTTGGTCAGTGGACGGTGACCACAACAACATAGAGTATTGCCTGGAAAGATGGAATTATACCATCACGGCTAGGGTGAAATTGTCGCCTTGGCCTCGACGTACGATAGATGGAACATACCCAAATACCTCTCTGAACTATTCAGAGTCGATCTGAGGGGCGACGACGAAGGTGTCAGTGTCATCATCGTAGACTAGGTAGTGCCTAGAGGAAGCATGGTAGAGGGAATCGGGGCCAGTGAAGAGGACAAGGAGGTTCTTGTCGGCACACGCTACAGTGACGCCCTCCAGCTGAGCCTTGATCTCGCTGGCTGTGGCCGACAGATGAAGCGATAAGGTGGAGATCCTAGGGGCTTTGGTGAATTCAGGGACGAGCCGGACCAAGCCCTCCCGCACGCAGTCCACCATGCCCGTCAGCTCTTCCTCTTTGATTGCATTATCGTCGCTGCAGAAGTCGTTGGCTTCTTCCTCTTCCATCATCATCCTCAATTCGATCTCATCCCATGTTTTGATGGCGAAATTCGCTCGTGCCCGCGCCATCGGTTGTTTTCTCGATAGTTCTGGCGACGAGGCGCATAGAGCGGTCAAACACTATCAAGATAGGATCCCTCAAGTAGGTTGACATGGTGTGGGTGCGTGGTGAGGCCAATCGATTTTATGCCTTTTTTTAGATGTAGTCGATTTTATGCCTATGCATGAGGACTTGCATGATCGAGACTCGGGACGAATGGGATACCTTTGGGTCAAAAGCGAGGCGCTACTAGCTAATGTGCCTCAGATCCGGAAGGCAAGGCAATGCTGAGACCAACGACCAACGATGATCGATCGATCTGGTTTGGAGCGACCTTCTCGGATCAAGTTGGTAGCTCACGTGGGGACCGTGACATTTTCTTGTTTCACCACTTTTGTTTTTTTAAAGGAGATTACTATAGCATGCGCGCACATGATTTGGGCTCCCGGTGCATGCACCTCTCTAGCACAGGAGATTTGAGTCGAAAAAAACTCAGTAGCTATCTTCACCGACTCTAGTGCCCTCGCCCCCGCCGCGGCGAGCTAAGGTTTCATCGGAGCTCCGACGAGCTATGGCCCTAGCTCACCTACGGCGCCACCTTCTTCCCCTCCCCCTCATCGCCACCGCCGTCACCATGGCCAGAGCTCCCCTGCCCTGACCTAGCCCGACCACCCTTATCGCTGCCAGCTCCCCTAAACCACCCATCGACCGTCCCCACCACCTTGCCTACCTGCCTCTCCCTGGCCGGCCATTCTATACCCCGCCGAAGTTGGAAAAGAAGGGAGAGAGATCTTGTCGGAACCCTAAAAGCTAGATCCAACAGCAGGAGGAGGAGGAGGAGGACGACGATGATGATGAGGGGCTGACCTGGTGGCGGATCCGTCGGTGCCACCACGGCCAGATCCGCCATGGCCGTGTGTAGGGGAGGCGGTGGGGCGTGGGGAGGTGGTTGGCCGAGTGGACACGAGGAGGCCATCGGTTAGAGAGAGAGGGAGGGTGGAGAGGGGGAAAGGTTGAAGATGAGTCATGGGTGTGCGTGTGTGGGTCACGGGTGTGCGGGCGGCGTCCACATAGCGTGTGTGCTTTCTTATTAGCATTTCCGTTTAAAAAAATAAAAACTTTACTTAAGAGTGACAATGACACTGTTGAATGGTTTCATGAGTATTCACATGTGCTAAGGAGCCCTGATGCACTATCGAGCGTGGACGTCATAGCATGTCGTGCGTGTGCTCCTACGCTGTGCGTGCTGCATGGCCACTGGCCACCATGTGGTGTGGCCGTCTTCGGCTACCACTGCTACGCACCATAGGCCTCCTATGCCCGAGCGATGACTCTACCAACCAACCACACCCTATCTAGGCCTCTGTGCTCATCATCGTCACCTCACATGCCCCGCTTGTCGTCGCTTCGGTGTTTTTGCGCTTTCCCCGGGTAAAGCCGTTAGCCCCAGCGAGCTCCGTCGTGCTCGCTGTGCCGTCTAGTCCCAGTGCCACCTGTTGCCACAGGCCATCCCACTACCACCATTGCCACGCTAGTCGTGCCCGTGATAGTGGCATGCCATCCATCGCTAGCTCAACTCTTTGGCTGGTGGCCTCGGCCAAACCACAGTGATAAACATGGGCATAGCCTTATAGCCCACCTCGTCACCCACGCAACACACAAGCAACACAGTACCCCAACGAACTTCCTCATAGCAAGGCTAACAATATAGCCAGGTTCTTTGTAGCCTTCTCTTGGCCCACCTGTATAGTAGTTAGCTTTTCACTATCAATACATGGCCCACTTATCTATCTCACAAAGTTTCTTGGTTCTTATGCCTAAGCCGGCTATAAGCTTACAACCCGCTTCTCCTCTTCCTCCTCTCCTCTCTCTCTTCTCCACCTCATCATTTAGCCAGCTTACAGCCTCTTGTTATACTTGCTCTCAGACGCTGCCATGTAGCCACGATGCCTGACGCATCACGATCGAGCTGCATTATTGCCCATGCGCCTTGCTGCACGCCACAATCTCGTTCACTCACGGTCGATCTCGGTGCTCGCCCTGAACCACCAATATGGAAGCTACTTACCCCTCTTCCTCTTCTGAGCTTACCTTGTCCCAATGGCGTGACTGTTGAAAGGTCCTAATGGCTAGAGGGGGGTGAATAGCCTATTAAAAATTTCTACAACAATACTAAGACAAATGATTAGTCAATAAGATGGCGAAGCGAATTTTGCGCTAGCACTATACTTGGGGTTGTAAGCCACCTACCCAATTCTATTTTCTATGATCTCTAGTATATCATAACAAAGCTATGTCACTAATATACACCTAGGTGATCAACCTAGTGAGAGTAATACAATTAAATGATACACTATCTAGTCTTAACTACCATTAGCTCTATCCAAGTGAATGTATAATGAAATACAAGAGAGTGGTAAAGAGGTATACCACCGTGGCAAGTGACCAATGAGTGAATACCAATGAATACCAAGGAGACAATCAAGACACAATGATTTTTCCTCCGAGGTTCACTTGCTTGCTGGCAAGCTAGTCTCCATTGTGGCGATTCACTCACTTGGAGGTTCACGCACTAATTGGCATCACACGCCAAACCCTCAATAGGGTGCCGCACAACCAACACAAGATGAGGATTACACAAGCCATGAAAAATTTACTAGAGTACCTTTTGGCTCTCTACCGGAGAAAGGTCAAGAACCCCTCACAATCACCATGATCAGAGCCGGAGATAATCACCAACCTTTGCTCGATGATCCTTGCTGCTCCAAGCCGTCTAGGTGGCGGCAACCACCAAGAGTAATAAGCCAAACGCACAGCGAAACACGAATACCAAGTGCCTCTAGATGCAAACACTGAAGCAATGCACTTGGATTCTCTCCCAATCTCACAAAGATGATGAATCACAGATGAAGATGAGTGGAAGGGCTTTGGCTAAGCTCACAAGGTTGCTATGTCAATGCAAATGGCCAAGAGAGTGAGCTAGAGATGGCCAAATGATATTTATAGACACCCTAAACAATAGAGCCATTGGCTCAATTATTGCGCTGACCGCGGGACGACAGGACGCGCAGGTCGTGTGCATCGGACGCGTCTGGTGTGGTGACCGGACGTGTTTGGTCGCAGCCTGACCGCCACATGTCCCTTTCAAATTGTTTAGCCATTGGCGCCCAATAGCTATCTCTACGCACAGTAATACTATGTGATCGGACACGCTATTAGAAAACGACCGGACCTAGAAGACACAGCGTCAGGTCGAGTCCAGAGAGCTCCCAAAGCCGCTCTGGGCTGACCGGACGCATCCGATCACACTGGACCAGACGCTCCTAGCATCCAATGAATTATTGTGCTGAAAACCTAAGACTTGCTGGTTCATATCGGACGCGTCTGGTCGCTCTCTGCAATCCTACATCGGGCTATATCACTTTGACCTGACACTAAACAGTAACTCGTCAGTGTTCGGTCACTCCACTGAGCCAGAGTCTGGTCACTTTCACTTAGTCGCTCACCTCAGGTCCAAATATCGGACGCGTCCGGTCCTGATTCCGGACATGTCTGGTCACTTCTGTCTGACTACCCCAAGACTGGATAAAATACCGGGCGCGTCTGGTCCCAATTTCGGACATGTCCGGTCACTCTGTGACCAGCGCGACTAACTCCTTTTCAACTCTATCTTCTTTACCCTTAATCAAATATGCCAACCACCAAGTGTATCACCTTGTGCACATGTGTTAGCATATTTTCACAAATGTTTTCAAGGGTGTTAGCACTCCACTAGATCCTAAATGCATATGCAATGAGTTAGAGCATCTAGTGGCACTTTGATAACCGCATTTCGATATGAGTTTCCCTCCTCTTAATAGTACGGCTATCGATCCTAAATGTGATCACACTCACTAAGTGTCTCGATCACCAAAACGAAAAAGCTCCTATCAAGTTTCACCTTTGCCTTGAGCTTTTTGTTTTTCTCTTTCTTCTTTTCCAAGTCCAAGCATTTGATCATCACCATGCCATCACCATCATCATGATCTTCACCATTGCTTCATCACTTGGAGTAGTGCTACCTATCTCATAATCACTTTGATAAACTAGGTTAGCACTTAGGGTTTCATCAATTCCCCAAAACCAAACTAGAGCTTTCAACCGTCCAATTACTTCTTTGCGCACGCTCTAATAAGTCAATGTATGCGATCTGCCATGCCCTGTCCCATTGCTATGCATAGGCGTGGACATGTATAGACCTGGTATTGGATGGTCATTAAATTCAATCAAAGCAATCCAACTAGTGTCCAACGAAATTAAGCTCACATCCAATCGAATTCTAATGATTTGCCTCCAACATTCTATCCAGTCCAATCCAACTCATCTTAGATATACAAATTCACCCAACACAATCCAACGAATCAGGGCCGGTCCACGATGGCGGTGCAACAAGGCAGGGCATAGGGGTTGGGTGCGCAACACATCAGTAGTTTTTGTAGTTGTGGCCACCTGCGGTGGGCGCGAAGTGACAGAATGGGGGATGGTTTATGTTAACTTGTTGTGCATGTGCTCACTCTCACACAATCACTCTGGCCGCCCTATGTCATCTTCTTCAAGGGTGGTGCCACACTCATCTTCAGCTTCCTTTCAGGCGCCACATGCGTCTTCTCTGCCAAGTCCTCGATGTCATGCCTCGCTCTTCTTCTAGATCAACAAGTTCAGACCAAGCGTCCCTTCTCTGCACCACGTAATGGAGGTTGTTCATCACGAAGATGTTCTGTAGCCTGGCACTGGCTTGGTCGTAGAGCTGGGACTTGTCATCAATCTTATGCAGTAAAAGACAGGTTTGGAGGCAATGTCTCAATCCATGATAGAAATTGAATATCCAATTGGATTGTCATGAATTCATGATGTTTTGTTTAGGCCCAGTTTAGTTGCCAAATTTTTTGGCAAAACGTTACTGTAGCGTTTTCGTTGTTATTTGGCAATTAGTGTCCAATCATAGTCTAATTAGGTTTAAAAGATTCGTCTCGTGGATTTCGTCTAAACTGTGTAATTAGTTTTATTTTTTATTTATATTTAATGCTTCATGCATGCGTCCAAAGATTCGATGTGACGGAAAATCTTGAAAAATTTGACGTTTTGGAGTGAAACTAAACAGGCCCTTAGTAGAATCTAACGACGCTGGATGTATAGATGATGGATGTTCACATTTAGAGTTTTGTTAAGTAGAATCCAACGACGTTGGATATATATAGAAGGTGGATGTCCTCATTTAGCTCAGTTTAAATTCAATAATAAAGTCCAGGTTAAAACTTGGCTTATGTTGATTTGTTATGAGAGAAAAATATTGTTCGTTCGCTGAAAAGTACTGCCAAAGTAGTTGAAGCGAACATGACATAGATATTGGATTAAACCCAATCCAATATTAGGTCTATTGGTCTAAACACATGTATGGATTGTTTTGATGGATGCGAGTGCACATAAAACCGTGACAAATGACCACCCCAGTCGGGTCGACAGAGGAATACAGAAGCCATCGGTCCCGAAACGGCAAAACGCAAAAAATATAGTACGGTTAGAGTCCAGGCGGGCAGACACCAAACACCCACGAGCCCACCACCGTCATGCGCCACACGAAATCGGCAGCGCAAGTCCGGCCTCGCCGGTGTGCGATTCCAAATAAAACACCAGGGCCCATACACACTATTCGCTAGAGTAAAACCCCGTTCGAATAACCTCAAGCGAACAGGGCTCATCCGCGGCTCCGCGCACGCCCGAAGCCGCGTCGCCATCGCCTCCCCAACTTCATCACCAGTCCTCCCTTCCCCAACTTCATTTACCAAAACTCCCGCCGCCGGCGCGCCGCGATCCGACTCCGGGATGCTCGCGCCGCTTCCGCGCCTGACGAGCGCGCTCCGTGGCCACTACGACGCCGATCAGGCCTACCTCCTCCGCAAGAGCGCCCTCCAGGCCCTCACCCTCTTCAGGTTCCACTCCCTCCCCCTCCGCCAATGCGCTGGTGCCTCACCGTCCCCCAACCCAATCGTTGCTGGGGAAAACCTGACGATTTCGTGCTGTTCATTATCTCCGCAGGCCGCATGACGAGTGGAAGCTTGCGCGGAAAATCGTGCCTGGCTGGGACGATGGTAAGGTTTCCAAACCCCTCGAGCTCCCTTGCTAGAGCCTAGAGCTGTGATGTTTTGGCCTTCCCCACCCTTTCCTTCTGGGTGTTTGCGTGCTTGCCTGTGATTCTGATTTTAGTTTCATTGGTCGAAATTGCAACTTGTGTTGCAGCTTCCAGCGAAGTGTGCCAGGCGTATAAGCAATTTATCGGGGCCATTGTGGAGTTGTTGAGCGGAGAGGCAGTGTCTGAAGAACTCTATGAAGTTGCTCAAACTGTGTATGCCCTATTTGGTGGCGATGACACGGAGTATGTTGCTGCCGAAAGAGCCCTTTCGAAAAGGTAGCAAACAAATATGCCACGTCTCTCTTTTTTTCAGGGCTCATAAACTTGGTAATTCGTTTGGCTTTTGTGCTATTAAACGAGGTTCAATTCTATGCATTGCAACTTGGAAGCTCTTAAAGCATTGGAATTTTAAAATGAAAAGCTCACTCACACACTGCTAGTAGTAAATTACGAGGTCTAGATGGCAGGTGGCTATAATCTCCTGGGCAATAGGCCGATTGCATCAATTGTTTGCAAATCCTTTGAGCTGTGTTACATCATTTTTTCAGAATACTATCTTTCTGCCTGATTTTCTGTATACTGTGGATGCTGTAAGTTTAAGTTCTTTTTGCTGGATTTGCACTACTTACATGGTTTATATCTCATCAGGAATGAGTTGGAGAGCCTTGTGGGCTACACCGTACAAGACTCAGTTTTGAAAAAGCTAGCTCAGTTAGCTCAGAAGCTCGGTTCCCTTCAACGAGCAAGTGCCCATGAATCTGTACACAGAATAGCGGATGATGTAAATGAAAATGATAGAATTGAATTTGGAGCAGACTTCGATTTCAAGCCACCTGCCCGTTTCATTGTTGATGTTTCTCTTGACGTACCCTTAGAAAGTACTGAATTGGGCAGTGGTCCATTTGAAAAAGGGCAGTATGATGCTTGGAGCACATCCACAACTAGTCATTCAACTGCTGTTAGGGATTCTGTGAGTTTGAGGTGGCTGAAAGATCAGTGTGCTTTGATAACTAAAAGTGGTGGCTCGATGCTCTCAGGAGATGAACTTGCAATGACCTTGTGCAGAGTGCTCCTATCAAATAAAGCAGGCGATGAGGTTTTTAACATTCTACTGAAAATTGCCTTTGTTTAATTTTTGTTGATGCAATCATCTTATGATCCCATGTTGCAGATAGCTGGTGAACTGTTGGACCTGGTTGGCGACACTGCTTTTGAAATAGTTCAGGATCTTCTTTTGGTAAGGGGCCTTGTTGTCTTCTCCTTAAAGTTTATTCTGCATATATTTCTTTCATACTCTTCACTGTACAGTGTGTGTTGCTCCTCATAGTCCTGCATGTTTGTAACTTGTTTCTGGCACACAAACAAGGTCTAGGAGACTCAATTATTGGTAGACATGACACGATAACTTACAGAAAACCTATAAGCCATCCGCTTGTTCAAATGTTACAGTATGGCCAGGATTCGGGTATCAGATAGGCCGGGGAAGAAATCAGAAATTTATAGGAGAGCACCAGAATCAGTACAGCTTCTTGTACCAATTAGAAGAAAAGCTTATCTGTTTCATAAATGTTGCTAATTTCCTCTCTCCTTTTTTCCTTGAACATGCTTAGAAGTGTATGTCATTGTATTAAAGATAGAAAGCTGTCAACTACATGCTGACTCCACGGCAGGGGGTTATTTTTTCTCCAGATTTTCTCTGATAATTCTTTTTTTGTTAGAGGATTCAGACTTTAACTCTGATCCTTTGTTGCTTTGGTTCTTCATTAGTTTGCATGCTTCTGCTTTTACCATGATAAGGATCCAAAGAACTACAGTTAACCTGGAATTATATTTGAGGGTGAGGCTCAAACTGAGAGCTCACTATGAGATAGTTCAATTATGACATCCTTCTTCCAGAAAGTTGAAACACATGACCGATTAATAGAACAGTGCTGTTATTTCTTTGTGCAATGACATGGTAATGAAGTACGCCTCATTGCTGCGTTATTTAAGAATTTATTTATGTGCTTTCTGTACATGACACTACTGGAATAATTGTTCGAGAAAAAAACAATAATTGTATATAATCTGATTATGTCATGCTCTGCAGCACAGGAAAGAGCTAGTAGATGCAATTCAACATGGATTGTCGATACTGAAATCTGAGAAAATGACCTCAGGTAATCAACCAAAGATGCCAACTTATGGCACACAGGTATGGCAACTTCGTAGTGTTGGCTATCTCTTCATGCATTGTGGATACCTAGCTAGATTATGAAATGAAGTCTCATCTTATATGCCTGCAGGTAACTGTACAAACAGAGTCTGAACGCCAGCTTGATAAGATTAGGAGGAAAGAGGAAAAACGCAGCAAGCGTGGTGCAGACAGTGGCAATAGCGATATTGGTGTTGATGATTTTTCATCCCTTCTTTTGGCAAGTGAACGAAAGAAACCATTTGATGACGTGATTGGTACTGGAGAAGGGTCGGATAGTTTTACAGTAACTTCCCTTCCTCAAGGAACCACAAGGAAACACATGAAGGGGTATGAAGAAGTGAAGATTCCACCAACTCCAACAGCATCACTGAAACCCAATGAGAAGCTGGTAGGCATATGGTCTCATCCCTTATCTCCTCTGTATATGTAGCTTATATCTCTAAAATTGATTCAATGGGAGTGGGACATGATAAGTCCTGCATTATATTAATTTTAAGATGATTTTCCTTACTTCAATGGACCTCTTTTTTCTAATTTGAGATCTCTTTAATATACTCAGTGACCTTAGAACATGGAATGGTGAAACCTGGTACCAATGATCAATTTGCACAACATTTTTCTGTTTCACTATATTGATTTTATCTGTGGATATAAAAACATCGCATTTGCATACATATAATATTATAACTACCCTCTTTTCAATCTTTCTCTTTCTTGATATAGTTGGTAAAATGACTGCATCTGTACCAGTTCTATTTACTTTAGCATTAACAGGTTTGTGACATCGGACTGACTCAGCTGTGCCTGTTCATCATTAGTTCGTTACTTGGATTTTTGTTGTTGATAACTGTGGAGTTCTCTTTGTTTTTTCCAGATTGAAATAAGAGAATTAGATGAGCTCGCCCTGTTAGGAGTGAATGAACTCTGTGCATTACGGTGGGCTTCAGCCCAAACATGTACATGGGCAAATATGCATAGAAGCCCTTACACAAAGAGGAAATAGCAAAGACACCTATACATCTATATCTAACACCCCCCCTCAAACTCGGGTGGTGGATCACTTAAAACCGAGTTTGAGAGAAAAAAAACTATGTTGAGCTCTTGTCTCGTGCCTTTGTGAAGAAATCAGCCAACCCAAGCTCTCAAGGCACATAGCGAAGAGTAATGACATCATCCTGCACTTGTGCCCGAGTGTAAGACATCAACACCGATATGCTTGGTGAGGTCATGCTTCACCGGATCATGAGCTATCTTGATAGCACCGATCTTTGTCGAGACAAGAGAGGAGTTAGCATGTAAACTGAAACACCAAAATCCTCAATTAGCCATCGCAACTAAGTAACCTCTCATTGTCAGAAGAGCCATAGCTCATAACTCGACCTCTGCACTTTTCGAGCGAGAAACCGCATGTCCGCTTCTTAGTCTTCCAAGCAATTAGAGAACCACCGAGAAAAACACAATATAATTTGAAAGAGAGCGACGATCGGAAGAGTCGCTAGCCCAAGTAGCATCGGAGTAGGCTTGGAGTTGAAAAGAGCTAGAGCGTGGGAAGAACAGAGCGAGTAATGGTCCCACGAAGGTAATAAGACACGAAGAAGATGACTATAGTGGAGGTGAGTGGGAGGCGGAAACAAACCGACTAAGAATGCACAAGATATGAAATGTCGGGGACGAGTCACACCTAAATAGACAAGACTCCCAACAATATGACGATATCGAGTGGGATGGGTGAGAGGTTCACCATCGGTTGTGCGAAGATGAAGATTAAGCTCTATGGGAGTCTCAACGGGCGATGATCGGTGAGGGAAGAACGATCAAGAAGATCTTGAATGTACTTTTCTTGGGACGGATAAATGCCATCAGAGGTTGAAGAGACCTCAATCCCAAGAAAGTAACGAAGAGGGCCAAGATCGGACATGAGAAACTGCTCACTGAGACGTGCCTTCACAAATGCAATATACTCAGAATCATCACCAAAGTGATGAGCATATCATCAACATAAAGAAGAAGAAGAAGTGCGCCACGAGATGAATTATGAACAAACAAAGCGGAGGTCATGAGCACTCGGGAGAAAAACCAACATTTGTGATCACAGAGGAAAAACGCAGCGAAACCAAGCGCGAGGAGCTTGTTTCATCCATAAAGAGAGCGGCGAAGGCGACAAGCGTTGCCATCGGGAACAAGATACCCGGAGGTGGTCGCATGTAGACCTCCTCATGGAGTTCACCATTAAGAAAGGCATTTTTGACATCGAGTTGAGAAATGGACCAGGCACGAACAGAGGCCACAGCAAGGAGAGTGCGAATAGTGGTCATGTGAGCCACATGAGCAAAAGTCTCATCATAGTCACGACCATGCTCCTGTTGAAAACCACGAGCAACAAGACGGGCCTTATAACGCTCGAGAGAGCCATCTGAGCGAGTCTTAATCTTATAAACCCACTTACACGTGATGGGACGAGCATGAGAAGGAAGAGGAACAAGATCCCAAGTGCCAGTGCGCTCTAGAGCAGCAATCTCCTCAGCCATGGCATGTTGCCATTCTGGATGACAAATGGCATCATGGTATGTGGCCGGCTCAGAAAGAACGGTGCCAGCAAAACCATACCGGTTTGTAGGCTTTAGCGATCCACGATCACGAAGATCATAACGAGAGGATGGCGAGAGAGGAAATATCCAGAATCAAGATGTCTCAACCGGAGGTGAAACATCGAGAGGCGCCTCAACGGGGAGGCGAGGGACTCGGAGGCGACAATCTGAGGTGTGAATCACGGGGTTTGGAATCATAAATGGACCTAAAAGGAACATGTGAAGGCGGTGAGAAGGCGGCGAAGGAGAGGGTGCAAGAGGAGATGGTGGAGGAGGAAGAAACACAGTGGAGATAGGTGTATCAGGAAAGATCAAGAAGGAAAGAGGCTCAACAACGGTCTGGGGAGAAACATCAGAGGTAGGCCGAGGATAGAATGAGCGAGACTCGTCAAAAGTAACGTCCCGAGAAATCCGCAGACGACGAGCAACAGGGTCCCAACAACGATATCCCTTGTGTGTTCAGCACTATAGCCCAGGAAAACACACTCAGCATTGAGATGTCGACAGATGCGTTCACGAGGAGCAAGAAGGACATAGCAAAGACACCCAAAAAGGCGAAGACTGGAGTAATCTGGTGGCTTGCCACAGAGGCGCTCATATGGGATTCCGCCTTGAAGAGCAGATGAAGGCTGAATGTTAGTTAAAAAAGTGGCAGTGGATATCGCATCAGCCCAAAAATGAGGTGGAACAGAGGAAGCAATCATAAGAGCACGAGCAGTTTCAAGAAGGTGGCGATGTTTACGCTCAGCAACACCATTACGAAAGCGTGCGCACAGACAAGAAAAGCGAGAAAGAGTGCCACATTCGAAAAGAAATTGGCGAAGAGCGTAGAGAGATACTCCCCAGCAGAGAGTCAAAGACGAAAAAACACGAATAGGAGTGTCAAATTGAGTACGAATCATCTGAGCAAATATCTTATATATGGATAACACCTCATTACGATGTTTCATGAAATACACCCATGTGAAGCGAGAGAAATCATCTATAAATATGACATAATATTGATGACCCCCTTTTGAAACGAAGGGTGCAGGACCCCATACATCGGAATGAACAAGGTCAAAGGGACGCTGTGACACTGATCCACTAGAGGGATATGGAAGTTGGAGCTGTTTGCCAAGCTTACAACCCTGACACTGATCTAAAGAAACATTACTAGAAACATTCCCCAAAAGACCACGACGGACAAGAGTGGATAACAAGAACCACATAAATGTCCCAATCGATGATGCCACCGAGCAAAAGATGAAGAAGCCCGATCAGAGAAGCAGAACCCACAAGGCTGGCGAGGCGCGGAAGGAAGACGAAGGTTATCAAGTTCCCAAAGACGCCGAGAATCACGGCGGCGAGGGCCAGTACCAACCAGGAGACCCGTGCTGAGATCTGGACATGACAAGAGTCAGAATCAAAAATAACACGACAACCATGATCAGTGAGCTTGCCAGCAGAAATAAGTTGCATGGTCAAATTAGGGACATATGAAACAGTAGGAACATGAAAAGAGGAGGACAAAAGAGTGCCATGTCCAAGAACAGGGAGAGTTGAACCGTCGGCGGTCTGAACAGTGATAGGAGTAGAAGAAGGACGAATGGAAGAAAGACTGGTACAATTAGAGGTCATGTGAAAAGAAGCACCAGAATCAAGAATCCATGGCAAAGTACCTAAAGTGAACGGTGGTTCCCCAGTGGAAGATTGTGAGGCAGCAGCAGAAACCAAAGGTGCAGAGACTGGGGTGACAGAACTAGCAGCTCCAGCAGGCACAGAGGAAGCTAGCCGACGAAGCAACATAAGTATCTCCTGTGTCTCAGAACCAGCCAAGCTACTCGAAGAGGGTCCAGCAGTAGAACGATCAGAACCCTGTGAGGAACGACCACCTCGGCGTGAATGAGCCTTCTCCTTCTTCTTCTTCTTATAACAATAATCTTCAACATGTCCATCTTTTTCACGATGAGTTGCAATGAAGTCCACAGTACTACCACTCCCATAGGACACGGCCAGCGAAGGTGTTGTAGGGAGGGGTGTAGGGCGTCGAGAAAGGTGCAGAGCGAGCAGCCAAGACCGACAAAGCATGGTGGCTGCAACAAGCTAGCGAGCGAAGACGGATCTCTTCATTCGAACAGCAGCAAGAGCATCCATCAGGGACACATGGGGTTCACGAGCTAGTAATCGGGCACGAAGAGGCTCGAATTCAAAGACGAAGGCGCAGTGAGAAAAATCGTAGATGCGCCAAGCTCAAGGTGGCTCTGTTGCTTCTCGCAGACTCACAAGTGGCGAGGGGACGGTGAGGACTCGATGTGTGTCAAGCTCACGCCACACACTAGAGAGAGTCAAGTTAAAGAACTCCTCAATTGTAGCATCACCTGTTGCAACAAGCGCTCTTGGCGTAAAGCCGCAAGGTATGTGGGATGACCAGGAGGGCTCATATGCTTATTTGGTGAAGAAAAGCCCACATCCGAGAAGCATAGTCAAGCTCTACAATATTGGCGGTCAAATGTTCCTCCATGCTAGCAGTTAGAACAAAGACACGCACGAGCATCCTCATCCAACCAAGTCCAATATCTCGTAAATCGAGAGACATGTATGAGGCCATATCATCATTATATTCATCATGCAATTTCTTCTTATCATCGTCATCTGAAGTTGCAGGAGGAAAAGCTGGGCCGCCTGGGAGGAGGTGGGTAAAGGTGGACACGGCAGTTCACCAAAGTGAGAAAATCCCAAAGCCGTAGACCACGCATATGCCAACGCATGCGAGAAACCCAAACACGATAATTAGTGCCATTGAAGATTATTTGGACATCGTGGAATCACCCCCCATAAGACCGAGAAAGCAGACCGGCCACGGTTGAGGATCCGAACTTGAAGCCATCCTAGTTGAGTGCAAAGAGAACTGAGGGGGATTTGAGCTCTCTCTGCTCCAAGAGAGAAAGCAGAGCAGAGCAGCTCCTCTGCTCAAAAAAAAGAAGGCAGAGCAGAGAAGAGAGGCAGAGCAGGGCGGCGGCGAGTGGAGGTCAGGCCAGCTGGGCGCGAGCAGAAAGAGAGCAGAGGGCCATGAAAGGTGGGCGGCGAGTGGAGGGAGCGCTGGCGAAGCAGGGCGGCTTCAACGGCGAAAGAGAAGCAGAGGGCGCGCTGGCGGCGGCGAGCGCAGGCGGCTTCAACGAGGGCGCACCCGGCGTGGGGAGGCAGCAAAGCGGCAGACGGGGAGGCGCTGGCGCCCACCGGAGGCGCGTTGCCAGCATGGCAGCGAGAAGGCGGAGCGGCACATTGCACGCGACGCTGCGTGCCCGACGGCTGCGGGGTGGCGATGGTCGCGACGGCGTCAGCGGATGACGTAGCGGACGAAAGGCCGAACGAGCACGGTGGCGCACGGAGGAGCAAAGCAGAGCACTTCGCCCGGCGGTAACGATGCCAGGTGACGCCAGAACTGTGGCAAGCGAGGTAAACCTAGACACCGGCTCTGGATACCATGTTAGGAGTGAATGAACTCTGTGCATTACGGTGGGCTTCAGCCCAAACATGTACATGGGCAAATATGCATAGAAGCCCTTACACAAAGAGGAAATAGCAAAGACACCTATACATCTATATCTAACACGCCCAAGCTGCCTTTCAGGGATACAAGTCACTCAATCGTGTGCAGAGTCGTATTTTCCAAGCTACATACTACACCAATGAGAATATTTTAGTGCGTAACTGGATCCATATCTATGCAATATTTCCTCACTCACCCCCTCTTTTTAACTACTGTCTTCTGCTATCATAGCTAACTTGGATAAATTTTCAGGTTTGTGCCCCAACAGGTGCTGGGAAAACAAATATTGCAATGATTGCAGTTCTTCATGAGGTATACCAACACCATGAACAAGCTCTACCAAAGCCTAAAAGTTACAATTTTTTTACAAGTTTATATTTGTTTTCTTGAGATTTTTGTTTATTATTGATAAAATCATCGGGATAGAATCTTGGATAGTGGATCAACACATTTCTTTTACAGGTTAAACAGCACTTCAGGGATGGCATTTTACATAAAAATGAGTTTAAGATAGTCTATGTTGCTCCAATGAAGGTATTCTTCTCCTTTACGTTACCTTTTTGCATCTGTAATGTTTGGATGTTTTGGGAACCATTGCATTTTACACACACACACAAAATGTTATTTAGGCCTTGGCTGCAGAGGTAACAGCAACATTCAGTCGCCGATTATCTCCATTGAACCTGGTTGTTAGAGAACTTACAGGAGATATGCAGTTGACCAAAAATGAGATTGAAGAAACTCAGGTATGCTCTACCTCGTTTTATTCTTTTCTGTGATCTTATTCTTTAACTTGGTGACTCTGAGCTGTGCTTATTTCGTGCATCAAGCAGATGATAGTGACTACTCCTGAGAAGTGGGATGTTATTACACGCAAAAGCAGTGATATGTCACTTTCAATGCTGGTTAAGCTGATAATCATTGATGAAGTACACCTTTTAAATGACGATAGAGGTTCAGTAATTGAGGCGCTAGTAGCTCGGACTCTCCGCCAGGTAAGTTCTTACACAAAAAGGGAACAACTTCTCTCTGCCTTGGTGTTGGCAGAATTCACAGTTTAATAATTTGTAAAGATGAGATGAAATATAGGTGGGTATGCTTCAAATTATATGTCTGTAGGCACTGATAACACTATGTTTATCCTTGTTTTACATCTTACTTATATATGTAGTTTCCTGTGCATTAATGATCTCAAGAATCATGGTAGAATAATTTATATAAAAAATGAAGAAGTAAAGACGTGTTTACCTTTACATGTTGTTTTGTTACCTATGGTCCATATTTATGAATTGATTGAATGCAACAGGTTGAGTCTATGCAATCAATGATTCGCATTGTTGGCCTATCTGCTACCCTGCCTACCTACTTAGAGGTCTGTTACCTACTTACCTTAACTATCATGTATATACGATTATCTCAACATTCAAGTTTGATTAAATAATATCATGGAACTTCACATCTTTCAGGTTGCACAATTTTTGCGGGTTAATCCAGACACTGGCCTTTTCTTTTTCGACTCAAGCTATCGTCCAGTTCCTCTTGCTCAGCAGTACATTGGGATCAGTGAAAGGGATTACACAAAGAGAAGTGAACTATTCAATACTTTGTGTTATGAGAAGGTCTTTTCTCTTTGAATAGCATGGTTCTCTTGTTTTCTGCATCTGTACCTTCATATGACTCTTACATCAAATTCACAGGTGGTTGAGTCCATTAAGCAAGGTCACCAAGCATTGGTTTTTGTTCATACCCGCAAGGATACTGGGAAAACTGCTAGAACCCTGGTAAGTCTTATACCTTCCATGTGAGAAGCATTGCGTAATTGCTCGATAGTAGTAGAATTACAATATTGGTTTCCTATTGTTCACTGTTTATGTCATGTCTCGCGAGTCTTACTGTTTATCAGGATTCTTATGCCATGTGAACAGGGCTGTAGCCTAGTTGGTCACAGGAGCCTTTGTAAGTTTAACCACTTGAGCCACTTTCAGCGAGATGCACATGGCTGCAGGCATGTGTTTTAGGCGCTCGGTGGCACGTCCAGGGTAGCCGGCCTTCGGGGTGTTTCTCATCCTGCATGCCACGGGGGTGGTCTTTCCCCTGCAGGTCGAGTTTTTTAAGGATTCTTATGCCCCATACCTGATACCTGTATATATCCAAGAACCCCCTTGTATCTTTTTTTTCCGAACATGCAGGAGAGCTACATGCCTACATGCCATTTGATAAAAAAAAAACCAAATGTACAACACCGCACACAACACATACAGACCTGACTAATAAATGCCTTGAATTTTCTTATTTTCTTTTTTATTTAAAAATTATATCTAGAAAGTGTGTTGGTACTCTTGGTTAGAAATATCTGATCGGCTGAGCTACTCCCTTCGCTTTGCTATATTTGTTAATGGCCTTGGAGGAAAACATTTCAAAATGTTTGTCCATTGAGGAAATCAAGAGTATGGTTGTTATTATGGGCAAACAGACACAAGTGGAGGGAGATATATTATCCCATGTTAATGTACCTCCATTTCACAATCCACAACCGTCATGTGCAGAAACCAAGGAGGCACTAGGTATAATGGACCTCATATGCCTCTTTTAAATAGCATGCCACAGCTAACTTGTATTTTGAAAGGACAACTCCCCAGTTATAGGACATACAAGGTGAAATGGCAATATGATCTTAGATTAAGCTGATGGATTTTGTTTCATAAGACATCGTTCAGGATTTGGGGTCCTTTCATGGGTATATTTTTCATGATGTGGATATATGTCTTAACTAATTAGATAATCTCTAGTTTCTCATTATTTTTTTTCATGCTGCTCAGATTGACCTAGCAGCAAAAGCAGGTGAATTGGAATTATTTTCAAGTGCAGATCATCCTCAATTTCCATTAATCAAGGTATAAGGCTACCCAATGGTTTCATTTTTACCGTTGATGTAGTGAACTAGTGATTTACTTATTCTTAATGGGTGCAGAAAGATGTTAGTAAAGCAAAAAGTCGTGAAGTTGTTGAATTTTTTGAATCTGGATTTGGTATACACAATGCTGGAATGATGCGTTCTGACAGAAGTTTGATGGAGCGCTTGTTTGGTGACGGGCTTTTGAAAGTTAGTATTTCTGCATGCTCGAGTATTCTCTAGTCTTGTGCTAACTTCTTTCAATTTAGGTCCTTGTTTGTACAGCAACTTTGGCTTGGGGAGTAAACTTACCATCTCATACAGTTGTTATAAAGGTTAGTATATGTCTATGCTTTCTTTTTTGCTCTATTTTTAAAAAATTCTAAACATAAGTGTATAATTGATGGTGCATCTAGACAATACTGGATAATTGAAAGAAATAAACACTTGCAGTTTATCGTAACTTATCACTTGACTTAATATTTTTAGGATGAAATTAATACCTGTCCATGTATCAGGATTCTATGCTGTTTAGTTCGATCTAGCAACTACTCCTTTTGTAGTTTGGCCTTAATACAGACACATCTTGGTATTCAGTGTTGTTTAGTTCAATCTAGTTACCACTTGTTTTGAAGATAGTTTGGGATCAACATTGGCATGTAATAATCTCATCTGGATGGGCATACTGAAAGCCTCAAGTTTTGTGTGAATTACTTTTAGTTTATCTTACTGGTTTGATAAGATGGATGAGCATCGCAACCCTTATGTTTGTTGGATACATCATTGGTTGTTCCACCGATTCCAAAACATGCATGTTTCCAATTGTCTGTACCTCTTTTATGCACTGCACATTGCTGAATAAATAATATATTTTCATTTCCCAACAACAGGGCACACAGCTATATGATCCTAAAGCTGGTGGGTGGCGAGATCTGGGGATGCTTGATGTGATGCAGGTGCCTATCTGAACCTTTCATAATTATGTGCTATTATTTTTTTAAGTAAAATTTCTGTGCTATTATGTTCATTTCTTCAGCCTGTTAGTCTTATGTTTCTGATGTTCATGCATTCGTTTTCTTTTTTGTGCTAGATCTTTGGACGTGCTGGAAGGCCACAGTTTGATAAAAGTGGCGAAGGAATTTTTTTTTTTTTCTCGAACGCGCAGGAGAACTGCGCATCAATATATTAAGAAGAAAAAGGAGGGGGAAAAGAGCCCCAAAAAAAACTGTTACAAAAACACAGAAACAAAAAACTGTTACAGAGAAAAGGGTCTGCAACCCACCCTAAGAACCCAAACTACGTTATGTCTCTAGAGAACTATAAGGCAGGACCAAAAAACCACCGGACCCAAAGAGCTAGGAGGTAGGAGCCAGGGCAAGGAGATAAGAAACTCCTCGAGCCCCTGCTGCTGCCCACTGCTGAGCTTCTTCCTTAAAAGCTGAGAGGACCCTAGCTAGGCTAGGAGTTCCACCATCAAAAACACAATGGTTTCGATGCTTCCAAATTAACCAAGCTCCCAAAATAATAATGGAATTGAACCCCTTCTTCACTTGACCAGAAAGCCTGCTGCAAACTCCTCCCACCAGTCCACAAAAATCAAATCAACCATTTGTGGAGCCACATCTTGCAGTCCAAAAGATTGCAGAATGTTGTACCATGTTTGCCGGGCGAAGACACAAGAGATCAGAAGATGGTCTATTGTTTCACCAGCCTGATCACAGAGTGGACACTGCGTTGGGTGATCAAGACCTCGACGTGCTAGTCTGTCAGCTGTCCAACATCTATTGTGAGCTACTGTCCACATGAAGAACTTGCACTTCCCTGGGGCCCAGCTCTTCCAGATCAACTCCCAAGGACTGAAATGAGTAGCTCCAATGAACAAGGCCTCATAAGCTGATTTATTAGAATACATACCGGAAGCTGAAAGTTTCCAGATATGTGTATCTTCCACCTCAGGATGCAGTACCACATTTGACAAAAGACCCCAAAGGTGAAGGTATTCAATCAGAACAGGCACACTTAAAGCACCTCTTATATCAGAAACCCATTTTCCCCCCGTGATAGCATCGTAAACTGATCTTTTCCTAGGCAATGGATGATGCTATGGCGAAGGAATTATTATCACAACACATGACAAATTAGCTTATTACTTGAGGTTATTGACAAGTCAGCTTCCAATAGAGAGCCAGGTTAGCATACCAGGACGCTATGCTAACATAATAATGGAACTTGTTCGGCTATGGGGTAAATTAAGATCATAATCCAGGGGTGATCCTAACATTAGGTTGTTGTATAATGGAGCAAGTTTCATATGACCTAATAGTTTTATGTTATTTTACTATTGTAGCCCTTCTTATGACTCAGGTCTTGAAAAAAAAGCTCTCCACAATTTAATATGTTGTATTGTTGTTATATATAATCTTGCAGTTCCTTGGATCTCTGAAAGATAATTTAAATGCTGAGGTTGCCTTGGGCACTGTAACAAATGTCAGGGAGGCTTGTACCTGGCTTGGTTATACATACTTATTTATAAGGATGAAGACTAATCCTCTGGTGTATGGGATAACTTGGGAAGAGGTAATTTTTCGTCCCACCATTCACACCTATGCGACGTTAACTTATCTAAGAAGGATGCATCTTTTAGTATGAGATTTTTGACATTCACTAAAAAAAGTGGCAAACAGTATATATGGAAGTATATACCTCTCCATAACTTGTCTTATTAAGCCATTTTCTTAATAAGACAAGTTATGGAGCGGTATAGGGAGAAGAAGAAGGACCTACACATGGTTTTTGTTGACTTGGAGAAGGATTATGATAAAATACCAAGGAATGTTATGTGGTGGGCTTTGGACAAACATAAAGTCCCAACGAAGTACGTCGGGCTCATTAAGGACGTGTACAACAATGTTGTGACTAGTGTTCGAACAAGTGATGGAGACATGGATGACTTCCCGATTAGGATAGGACTACATCAAGGGTCAGCTTTGAGCCCTTATCTGTTTGCCTTAGTAATGGATGAGGTCACAAGGGACATACAAGGGGATATCCCTTGGTGTATGCTTTTCGTGGACGATGTAGTGCTAGTTGATGAAAGCCGGACAGGAGTGAATCAGAAACTGGAGTTATGGCGGGAGACTTTGGAGTCCAAAGGTTTTAGACTCGGTAGAACTAAAACTGAGTATATGAGATGTGACTTCGGCACTACTACTCGGGAGGAGGAAGATATTAGTTTGGAAGGTCAAGTAGTGCCTAGGAAGGATACCTTTCGATATTTAGGATCAATGCTACAGAGAGACGGGGATATTGATGAAGATGTTAGCCATAGAATCAAAGCAGGGTGGATGAAGTGGTGCCAAGCATCTGGTGTCCTATGTGACAAAAGGGTACCACAGAAGCTAAAAGGCAAGTTTTATAGGACGGCGATTAGACCTGCTATGTTGTATGGTGCAGAATGTTGCCCTACGAAAAGACGACATGTTCAACAGATAAGTGTTGCGGAAATGCGTATGTTGCGTTGGATTTGCGGTCATACAAGAAGGGATCGAGTTCGGAACGATGATATACATGATAGATTAGGGGTAGCACCAATTGAAGAAAAGCTTGTCCAACACCGGTTGAGATGGTTTGGACATGTCCAACGGAGATCTCCAGAGACATCGGTGCGTAGTGGAATCCTAAGCCAGGATAGTAACGTGAAGAGAGGCAGAGGAATACCGAAGTTGACTTGGATAGAGGCAATAAAATGAGACTTGAAAGTATGGAATATACCCAAAGACTTAGCCTTAGATAGGAGTGCTTGGAAAACAGCTATTCACGTGCCTGAACCTTGATTGCTTTTGCTGGGTTTCAACTCTAGCCTACCCCAACTTGTTTGGGACTTAAAGGCTTTGTTGTTGTTGTTGTTGTTGTAGTATATATGGAAGTATCACAGGCCTTCTGTATTTTGCTAATAAATGTTGTTTTATCATGTCACAAATGAGATTTTGTTTTGAGTTATAATCTCTATCTCATATTTTTATTAAGGTTATGGGAGATCCTTCTATGGGTGCGAAGCAAAGAACATTTATTATTGATGCTGCACGTGCACTGGACAAAGCTAAGATGATGCGCTTTGATGAAAAGAGTGGTAACTTCTACTGCACCGAACTTGGTCGAATTGCAAGCCACTTTTACCTTCAGTACTCCAGTGTCGAGACTTACAATGAGATGCTTCGACGTCACATGAGTGAAAGTGAGGTATGTCTTTGGTTTACCCCCTTTCATATGTTTGTTCAGAGCTTGTGATGCTTGCGACATTTTACTGACCTGCCTGGGTACAACCTCAGTTGATTACTATGGTGGCACATTCCTCTGAATTTGAGAATATCGTAGTAAGAGAAGAAGAACAGGATGAATTAGAAGCCCTTGCCAGGAAAGCATGTCCTTTGGAAATTACCTTTGGAAATTAAGGGTGGGCCGACTGACAAACATGGGAAAAATTCAATTCTCATACAGGTTACTCCTGAGGACTGAAACTCCCCATTAAATTTTAACTAAGAAGATTTTAATTTGGGTATTTGATCAATTTTCAGGTTTATATTTCCTGTGCTCCAATTGATAGCTCCTCTTTACATTCTGATGCTCAATACATTAGTCAAAGTTTGGCACGTATTATGAGAGCACTATTTGAGATTTGTCTGCATCGGGGATGGTCTGAGATGTCATCCTTATTATTACAATATTGCAAGGCCGTGGACCGCAAGATATGGCCCCATCTCCATCCACTTAGGCAGTTTGATAAGGATCTTTCTCCTCAGGTTTGCTACCAATTATCACTACTTGTGTTTCCATTGTTTTCGAAATGTAATCCTTCCTCTTTGAATTAGATATTGTGGAAACTCGAGGAAAGAAATGTTGATCTGGATCATCTTTATGAGATGGAGGAAAATGAAATTGGAGCTCTGATCCGGTTTTCTCATCAAGGAAAGGTATGCCTTGGCTTAACAGGTGTTTTTTCAATGGTTGTTCAGTATTTTTTCTACTTGTTACTAATGAGATTAACATCCTCTTGCTGAAGTTGGTTAAGCAATACGTTGGATACTTCCCATATGTCAACCTATCTGCAACCGTGAGCCCAATCACTAGGACAGTTCTTAAAGTAAGAGCTTTGTTCCAGTTAAGTATTGTGTGCCAATTTAGGATTTTCCACGATATACTCTTACGCAACCACTTATTTATTGCTGTAGGTGGACCTGCATATAACTCCAGAATTTGTGTGGAAAGATCGTTATCATGGCATGTCAGAACGGTGGTGGATCATTGTTGAGGTGTGTGAGTGTACATGTATTGTTGTTATGTCAGAAAGATCGGGGAAAATTTATTTCATCTGTCTTTCACCATATTTATTTTCTTGTTGCCATGACTTTTTTTTTGTCAAGAGACTGTTTCCTCTTTTCTTATCTTTTTTTTTAGGGTCTGTACAATGCAATTATATTTGCTTTGCTTCTAACTTTTTGAGGAGACACACTTATACCACCTTGAAAGATTGGTAGCAAATGCATAGAAATGTCATCTTCAGGAACCTCTTACATAAAGTGCAATGTGCATGCAAATGGTCGTATAAATTTACACCTTCTCTTTAAAGATTTCAAATTTATACTTTTTGTACTCGATTCCTATTGCAGGCATGCATTGGTCAGTAACAATAACATTTTATTTTCCAGGATTCTGAAAATGATACCATTTATCATTCAGAGCTATTCACATTAACTAAGAAGATGGCAAGAGGAACACCTACAAAGATATCTTTTAACGTACCAATATTTGAACCTCATCCGCCACAGTACTATATACGTGCCATCTCAGACTCATGGTTACATGCTGAAACACTCTTCACCGTTTCTTTTCATAATCTGACATTGCCACAGGTGAATTGAACAATTGCTTACTGATGCTCCATAATGCTTATTTTCATTATTATATACTGAATGCTGCACCTGTTGCCCATGCAGACGCAAATAACACACACTGAACTTTTGGACTTGAAGCCTCTTCCACTGAGTGCTCTTGGCAACAAAACGTACGAGGATCTGTACAGATTCTCCCATTTCAATCCGATACAAACTCAGGTGTCTTTGGAACCCAGCTATCTTTCATTCTAGTGCCAATGCCATTATCTGCATGATAGGGATTGTAATTAAACTTTTAAAACTATTCCAACCAAATTGTTTTTTGTTGTGCAACTGCTCCAGGGATTATCAGTTTTTTTATAGTTATAGTAGTCAGTTGTTTGTGGGAAAACATGTATTCTTGATTGAACATAAATTAGAGAATCAAGTAAAAGTTACCAGATGCTCAACATATGCATCCATTTTTTTGAAGTTCACAGGATGCTTATTGTATGCATCTCTTGTGTTGTATAATGCCCAAACACATCTAGTACCATTGCTGAATTGTTTGCTATTTGTATGCAAACTATTAAATTTCTACGTAATTTCTTCTTTCAGGCTTTTCATGTTCTTTATCACACTGATAACAATGTACTCTTGGGAGCTCCAACTGGAAGTGGCAAAACAATTTCGGCAGAACATGCAATGCTCCATCTTTTCAATACACAACCAGACATGAAGGTTTGTTTATTAAGTTCAATAAAATCTGAAACCTTTTTTTTTGGCATGCTGGCAATTTAATGCCTTTTCAATACCTGTTTTAGGTAGTTTACATTGCTCCTCTAAAGGCTATAGTACGAGAAAGAATGAATGATTGGAGAAAACGTCTTGTAACTCAGCTTGGGAAGAAGATGGTAAAGAGCACTCCATAGCTTTTATTTCTCTGGTACATTAAAAGTAAACAGTCATCCTAACTGAAGTAACATTTTTCATAATTCATGACAGGTTGAGATGACTGGTGACTTCACTCCAGATTTGATGGCCCTATTATCAGCTGACATCATCATTTCTACCCCTGAAAAATGGGATGGGATTAGTCGAAATTGGCATAGCAGAAGTTACGTTATGAAGGTCTAGACCTGTCCTTCATATATTAGCTATTTAGTTTTATCCCTCATTTTGTAGATTATCATAGGTTAATTTCATTTTAGTTGTTGGATATATTTTACATGATTATTGACAGGTTGGGCTCATGATATTGGATGAGATACATCTTCTGGGAGCTGACCGTGGACCCATCCTTGAGGTAACCCTTCTGGCACTTATATAAAGAAGAATAATATTCTTTGCTTATACGTCAGTATGACATGATATATCATTTTGTCCACTGAATACATCATTAAATATGTTTTTGCTGTATTTGTTCTTTTTTGTTTTAACTTTGATCTCTCTATCAATGTTTAGCATAATGGGTTTTTTGTTTTTCAGGTCATTGTATCAAGAATGCGATACATATCATCACAAACAGAACGTTCAATTCGGTTTGTTGGTTTATCAACGGCATTAGCAAATGCTCGGTATGCTTTGAAGTGATGCTTTTGCATGCAGTTTTTTTCTAACTATATATCCAACACCTTGATAATTTTTTAGAGCTATGTTGTGTGCATCATAGCATTAACATCAAATTTTTTTGGCCCACGAACCGCAAGCAGAGTCATGACAGTTAGCATGAGCGGTCACTGGTGGTGGATTATCACTGGCCGTTGGATACACGCAAATCCTGATCAGTGCTGTATCAGTATAGATATTGATTCTTGCGCTCAATCTCTTTAAATAAAGTGCAAAATATTTCCCTAGCATATGAATGGAAGCACTATTCTCACATAATGTATTTGAGAATAGTAGGTGTTATCACGGTACTGTGTGTACCTACATTGCCACTGTAGCACTTCTGCTCTATTAGCTGACCTCTTCCATCTTTCTGATACGGCGTTGCCGCCGAGGAGTACGCAGAGGAGATTGGAGGAGTAGGCTGGACTGGGAATTGGAACGGAGGGATAGCGAGGCAAAGGTGCAAGGGGCGTCTGGCCGGGCAGTGGCAGCGCTGTGACACCACTGTCGAAGAGGAACCCCACCTGCAGTAGAGTTCTATTCTTCTTCGATACTGATTCTAAACATCCCTAGGACACCTTTATACTCGGTGTCTTCCTAACAAACCAAGACCCAGATCCTATAATTCCTCCCGATTTATTGCTTTCTAAAATAGATAGAGGCGCCTCGGCCACTAATGGCCTTTGGGCCGCTTGCAGATTGCTTTTGCCTATGAAGGAGTCCCACAACATTTCCTCCTCCCCAACAAACATTTCGTCCGAGCTGAAATGTAGAGATAGCGCTCCTTGAAATCGGCGATAGGCTCCCAGGTAGCAGGCGGTGAAGTCCCTCCCAATGCACCGGGAGTTCCCAATGGCCCTTGGTTGAGACGAGCCCGGACCACTTTAGTCGGGGTTGGAACCACACTGCCCCCGAGGATGGCGTGCGAGGCATGGGTGCAATGTGGAGGAACTCCCACAATTTCTTCAAAGCAGAGCCACATGAAAGACATCATGGATGCGGGCCTTGAGGGTAGGCTAGCGGTAAGCAACTGGCCTTGATCGGCTGGACCACCCGATATGGAAAAAAGCAGGCAAACAAGCTTGGAAGGAGATGTCATTGTAATTCCCACCGCAGGTCTTGTTGATGAAGGCGGAGCAGAACCCATTCGCCAACAGCAAACTCCACATCGCGACGCTTCTTGTTGTGGTGCTCCGCATGGTGTCTCCTGAGCAAGGATGAGGCGCTCCACGATCTCGGTCAAGAACGTGTCACGGTCTCGAGTGGCGATCCTCACCCGCGACACGAGCTGTTCTCGGAGTGTAGGACATCAAAGTTGGTGGTGCCCGCCATAGACCACCTCAAGCGCGGCGTGGACCGAAGAAGGCTTGGTAGGAGGTGTTGAAGCGAAATTCCGCCTGCAGTAGCCACGAAGGCCACGGCGAGGGCGATCCCGCTAAGCACCGCAGTACATATGACGATGATCCGGTTAGTGACCTCGGATTGGCCGTCCGTCTGAGGATGGAAGGCCGAGCTGCGCAGGAGCTTGACACCAGCGAACTTGAACAATTCCTCCCAGAAATGGCTGGTGAAGACCGTGTCACGGTCACTGACGATTGAGCACGGGAAGCCGTACAGCCGGACGATGTTGTCGAAGAAAGCCCGGGCCACGGACTGTGCAGAATACGGATGGCTCAAGGCGACGAAATGAGCCATCTTGGAGAAGCGATCAACAATGGTCAAGATGACCGACTTGCCGCCAACCCTTGGAAAGCCTTCGACGAAGTCCATGGCGATGTCGCTCCAGATAGAGTTGGGCACGGGAAGGGGCTGCAGCAGACCAGCCGGATGCAGATGCTCCGTCTTGTTGCGCTGACAGACGGGGCAGCCCCGGACGAAGTCGCGGACCAGCTGATGGAGCCGGCTGTGGTAGAAGGAGGCACGCAGACGGTGGAGAGTCTTTTGTGCACCTTCATGTCCAGCCTCATGGGCATCACGAAGGAGTTGTGGCCACAGGCTGGAGCCCTCTGGAACGAAGACACGGCTGTTGTACAGCAGCAGCCCGTCCACCAGCTGCCACCCTTCTGGCGCTGTGCCAGCAGCCAGCTGGTGGCACAAGTCTTGAGCTGCAGCGTCCTCCCGCAGTTCCTGCCGCAGGGTGTCATAGTCGGTGAAGAGCGGTCCGGACAGGGTCAGCAGCGCTGCCCCCTCGTCGCGTCGGGACAGCGCGTCGGCGACGGTGTTGAGCCTCCCTGCGCGGTATTCGACCGTGAGGTCGTACCCGAACAGCTTGGAGACCCATGTATGCTGAGGAATCGTCGTCAGGCGCTGGTCGAGGAGGAACTTGAGGCTCCAGTGGTCAGTGCGGACGGTGAACGCGCGACCCCAGAGGTAAGGCCGCCAATGACGGACTGCCTTGACCAGCCCTATAAGTTCACGTTCATAGGCTGGTAGCTTGGCATGATGAGGAGCAACCGGGCGGCTGAAGAAGGCGATGGCACCGTCTCCTTGGTGCAGCACAGCGCCAAAGCCAGCACCTGACGCATCGCAGTCCACCACGAACCGCTTGGTGAAGTCGGGCAGCTGAAGGAGGGGTGCCGTGACTAGCGCCGACTTGAGAGTGAGGAAGGCCGCCTCAGCCTCCGCTGTCCAGGTGAAGGCCTCGCGCTTGAGGAGGGCGGTCAGCGGTGCTGCCACACCGCCGTACCCAGCGATGAACTTCCGGTAGTAACCGGTAAGGCCGAGAAACCCGCGCAGCGCTCGAAGCGAGCGTGGTGTGGGCCATGCCTCCACCGCAGCAACCTTGTCAGCATCCATGGCGACTCCCTCGGCGTTGATAATGTGACCGAGGTAGGCCACTAAAGGCTCGCCGAAGGAGCATTTAGAGCGCTTGGCGTAGAGATTATGGTCACGCAGCTGCTGCAGCACAAGCTTGACATGTTGTAAGTGCTCAGCCCACGAATGGCTGTAGATCAAAATATCATCAAAAAAAACAAGCACAAAGCGGCGGATATATGGCTTCAAGATGTCATTCATGAGTGCTTGAAAAGTAGCAGGCGCGTTGGTGAGGCCGAAGGGCATGACGAGGAACTCAAAATGCCCACGGTGCGTCCGGAAGGCTGTCTTGGCGATGTCATCCGGATGCATGCGCACTTGGTGGTATCCGCTGCGAAGGTCGATCTTGGTGAAGAAGCGGGCACCCTTCAGCTCATCCAAGAGCTCATCGACCACTGGGATCGGGTACTTGTCCTTGACGGTGGCGTCGTTGAGGGCTCGGTAGTCGACGCAGAAACGCCAAGTGTCGTCGTGCTTGCGGACCAAGAGCACCGGGGAGGAAAATGGTGAAGTCGACTCCCTGATGATCCCTTGGCCAAGCATGTCCTCGCACTGTCGTTCGATCTCATCCTTCAAGAGCTGCGGGTATCGATACGGCCGCACCGCCACCGGTGGAGTGTTGGGCAGGAGGTGGATCCTGTGGTCGTGGCGGCGCTGCGGGGGCAGGCCACGAGGCTCCTCGAAGATGTCGTTGTAGGACTGTAGGAGGTCCCCCAGGACAGCACGGGGATCAGCTATGGCGCGAGCGGCCGATCCCCGGCTGTGGACACCGGTCCAGTGGTGGGAGCGACCGTTGTACCAGAAGGACATCGCGAGTGCGTCGAAGTCCCAAACGATGGGTCCGAGCGTCCGGAGCCACTGGACGCCTAGGACCAGGTCGAAGCCGCCCAAGTCGAGGGCGAAGCAGTCGATGGGGAACGCCTCGCCGCCGATGGTGACCGGAGTAGCCAGGCAGACGCCGGGGCTGCGTACCCGATCGCCATTGGCCACCATGACGTTGAGGCCAGCTCTCGGCGTGACGGTGAGTCCCAGACGCTGCGCAAGCGCGGAGTTGATGAACGTGTGCGTGGAGCCGGTGTCCACCAGCGCCCGCAGCTGTGCCCCGCCCACTGTGACCTGCAGCAACATTGAATCCGCGGCCTTGAGGCCAGTCAGGGCGTGGAGCGAGATCTCCAGGTCATTGATGTCGCTGAGGGGGTCGTCTTCGTCATCCGCCAAGTCCATGAGGAAGACGCCCTTGGCGGCGCACTGGTGCTCCTTGCTATAGGGTTCCGGGCAGAAGTAGCACTGCCCGTTTCGGCGTTTCTCCTGTATCTCCGCCGGTGTAAGACGGCGGAAGCGTGATCGAGGCCCTCGGCTTGCCCTGGCGGCGGAGGGCCACCCGGGCGGCGGTGGAGGAGGCCGGCCGCGATCATGTGTGGCGGCGCCGGAGCCCTTCGGTGCCGTCGAATGAACTAATGATGCAGAGGACTCGCGTGGACGCTTTCGAACGCCCGCATGCGAGGCTCATGGCCTTACGGAGGTCGACGGTATCGTGCATCTCGACGTCGTCGCGCGAGCGGTTGACCCAACCCTCCGGTGTAGAGGTCGATCACCGTCCGCATGGGCGAGGTCGGTCTGGCCAAGCCGCGAAAGGTGGCTCGAATCGGGCGCGAGTATGCCTCCACGATTTCGTGCGGACCCGGCGCTTTGATCTCGACCATCGAATTAGTGCGGATCGGTGGGTGGCGGCGGAGATTGACGAAGTCGACGAAGCGTGGCCACGGCACCAAGCCGTCAAGTCACGCTCCATCTGGTAGTACCGGTCCGCCCGCGGTGCCGTTGAGGTCTGGCGATGCCATCCACACCTTCTCATTTTCGGGAACACGATGGCCACGGAAGAAGTTGTCGCATTTGTTGAGCCAGTCGTGGATCGGACTCACCGTCGAAGGTGGGGAATGGAATTTTAGGCGGACGGTGAGGTTATGGTGACGGTCGATGAAGTGGTCGTAGAATCGCGCGCCCATAATCATAATCGCCGCTCGCTTCGTCGGACTTCAGCGCCCGCCGCCGAATCGATCGAAGCCGCTGGAATCGCGCCGTCGAGGCGCGTAATTTATCGGTGTAGATGGTGGCGCCCGTATGTCGTCGTACCGCGGTCCTCGAAATACCGCGCTACCACCGATCGATGCAGATACCAGCGATCGCCACGGCCGTCGGAAACGGCGGCGGCCTTGGCGCCGAAATCGTCGCGCTCCGGTCATCGGCCGCCCGCCTCGGTCGTCGTCGTCCGAAGCCGCCCGCGGCCGTAGAAGTCATGGTCGAAGAGTCGCGGCCGCGCGGACCGAAGGGGTCGCGATCGCGGAGGGCGCTTCGCGGAAGTCCGCCAGCGCTATGTCGCGGTGGAGCCCACGGTCCGTGTCGTCGCGCGTCGGTCGGTCGAGGTCGTCCGTCGTCGATATCCTCCCCGTCTGCGCCCTTCCCAAAGAGCGGGCTTGCCGCCTCCATGCGCGCGCAAGACGGAGTCATGGGAGTTGAGTCGATTGGTGATGGTGGTGAGTTGACCCAAGATGCGATCCAGCTTTCGTCCATGGCAGCGAGAATGAGAGGAGTCTTGTGGACCGAGAGGTCGATGCACCGGAGATGGTCTCGATACCAAATTGATCTGGCGTTGCCGCCGAGGAGTCTGTGAGAGGAGATTGGAGGAGTAGGCTGGGACTGGAATTGGAACGGAGGGATAAGCGAGGCAAAGGTGCAGTGGGGACGTCGCCGGCGGCAGCGGCAGAAGCGCGCGCAGCCACCGTCGAAGAGGAACCCCACCTGCACGGTAGAGTTCTATTCTTCTTCGATACCTGATTACAGCATCCCTAGGACACCTTTATACTCCAGGTGTCTTCCTAACAAACCAAGACCCAGATCCTATAATTCCTCCTGATTTATTGCTTTCTAAAATAGATAGAGGCGCCTCAGCCACTAATGGCGCGCCTGGCCTTGCGCCGGTACTGCCTGCCTATGAAGGAGTCCACAACACTTTCACATGTATTTCAGTGATTTAGCTGATTGGTTGGGCGTTACAGATGATGGTCTATTCAATTTCAAGCCTAGTGTGAGGCCTGTACCTCTTGAAGTGCATATCCAGGTAAGCAGGATTTCTGTTTTTGCTGCAAATTCCTATTCAGGTTCATATTGCTGACCATTGCTCAGTAGAGCTAATTTCCTCAGATATTGGTTGCATTAACTAGTTTTGCTGGAAAAACTCTGCATCAGTACCTTATAGTGTTACATTTATTTCTCCTGAACAATTTACTTTTATGTCGGATGAGGCCACAAAGGAAATACGTGGTCTTTTGTGGCAATGTGGTGCTAGATGATGAGAGTAGGATGGGAGTTAATAAAAAATAGAGTTGTGGAGGCAAAACTTGGACTAGAAAGGTTTTAAACTAAGTAGAACCAAAACTGATCATATGAGTTGTGAATTGTGACTTCAGTGATACTAGACATGAAGGAGCGGTTAGTTTGGTAGGATAGGTAGTGCCCAAGATGGATACCTTTTGGTAATAGGATTGACGCTATATAGGGATGGTGATATCGATGAAGATTTTTGTCATCGAATCTAAAGTGAATGGATGAAAATGGCAGTAAGCTTTTAGCTTCCTCTGTGATAGAAGGCATAGGCGGACTCACCTCCCGGCAACCCCGGCCAGCCGCCTGGGCTCCTCGACGAATACGCAGTGAAACGCAACGAAGTTGTTATGCTATCTGAAGGATTGAAATATATTTTTCTGTAGCAAATACTCATCATCTTAAAATTTGCCCGGGCTCTAAAGTCTTCCTGGGTCCGCTACTGATAGGAGGTGCCACAAAAGGTAAAGAGCGCATTAGGAAAATACCATTGCAAAACAGCTTGAGTTGGTAAATACTATCACAAAAGTGGTGAGTTCAAAAATACCATTGTAAAACAAAGTGGGTGTTGGAAAATATTGCTGCCGCTCCTGACGTCTAACTCAGTTAATGACTTGAAAAGTCCATGATGCCTTTTTAAAGCTTTGGCCCTTGTACTCCTTTTGTCCAGTTGGCTCAGTGCCAAACTAAGGCCCCGTTTGGTTGCGAGAATCGGTTCCGTTTCTCGTAAGAATCACAAGAATCTGTGCCAAACGGGTATCTGGCAAAGTGATTCACCAGAGAAACGTTTCTCGTTTTTGTACTAAGAATGAGAATCACCCAAATAGGTGTTTCTTGGTGATTCTAGTTCATTTCAGCGAGAATCTGGATCCGTAGTCAAACGGTTTCACTGATTCTCGCTGTTTCACTAGAGAAACGTTTCTATGGAGAATCTGGATCTGAAACGTTTCTCCTAGAATCTGGATCCCTACCAAACGGGGCCTTAAGGAAAATATCCCCTTTCTGTCTATATTATACATGTTAAGTGTATCAAGGCCCATATGGCCCATGATGTTCTCTATATTGCCATCTCCAAATCTCCATGGTTAGTAACAATAGCCTTGCATAACATCTATCCTCATCTAATCTCTCCTCTCTTCTCCTCTCATCTATACGAATCTATTATAAAACTGATTAATTGAGCCCTTTGCAAACTATAAGAACTAAAATATGCACACCCTTGGTTTCACAGATTATATCCGCGCCTGTGCTTAGAAGATATAACTCCCCATCAGAGAAAGACACTAACCACAGCATTTGGAGGAAAATGTTTGTTGGATCACAGCATAAGAAAAAATTGCATCCTAACGCCATGTTTCCTCTTCTGTTTTGACAGGGATATCCTGGGAAATAAACCAGTTCTTATGCAGCCATATGCACTCATTCACCCAATAAACCAGTTCTCATTTTTGTGTCATCACGTCAACAGACAAGACTTACAGCTCTTGATATCATTCAGGTGGAATTCTACTTTGGATCTATGCTACTAGATGGGTATAACTATAAACACTACTACTACTGCTATCTTATCTGTTTAATGTGCTCTACGTGCAGCTTGCAGCATCAGATGAAAAACCAAGGCAGTTCCTGAGCATGGCGGACAACTCCCTAGACATGGTTCTTTCACAAGTTTCTGACAGTAATTTGAGGCATACTCTGCAATTTGGCATTGGTCTGCATCATGCAGGTTTAAATGACAGAGACAGATCCTTGGTTGAGGAGCTTTTTTCAAACAATAAGATTCAGGTGTGTTCTGCTTTGATAGCCTTCTCCTGTTACTCGTATTTCTAATATTTCAGCTTAGCTGGTTAAGTATTTCTCTTGTAAGCTATGCTAGTTGCATACTTGAGCAAAACTTAGACAGACCTTTTTGCTTGACGTTTTTCCAGGTGCTGGTATGTACCAGCACATTGGCGTGGGGTGTCAATCTTCCAGCTCACCTGGTCATAATCAAGGTGACATAATGCCTTGCATTTTCTGTCTTCACTGGTGATTTATTTGTGAACTAATTTTATCTCTATCTTGTAGGGCTCTGAATACTACGATGGGAAAACAAAAAGATACGTAGATTATGATATCACAGATATTCTGCAAATGATGGGTCGTGCAGGTCGGCCGCAATATGACCAACATGGCAAAGCTGTTATTCTTGTTCATGAACCAAAAAAGAGCTTTTACAAGAAGGTCACGATTTTTCCGTCTCTTCTAATGGACGATCTAAATCATATTTTATCTTGTGTTTAACAGTAAATAATATAATTTTCAGTTCCTCTACGAACCATTTCCTGTGGAAAGTAATCTGAGGGAGCACTTGCATGACCACATAAATGCAGAAATTGTTTCTGGCACCATCAGCAACAAGGAGGAGGCGATTATTTATCTCACCTGGACTTACCTATATCGCAGATTGGTATGTATCTTGCAAAATTATTTTCAGTACTTCGTTTTATGTTCCTGCACTAGCCGGCTAAAAGTTCTGGATATGTAATCTTCAACACACTTCAGATCCTTTTTCATCCTCACATGGTCTGTTTGGTTGGTACATTTTCTAAATAATAAGGATCAAAATCAAGACTGTTACGACAAATGGCAAAAATTCAACAAGCAATGTATAAGTGTCTTACTGTTTTTCTGATTCAATTCTGTGGCTTGTCAAAGTTATCTGCTAAGACGGCATGATGACATTTAACTGGGACGAAAACATCTTGTAAAATCTATGTTTTTGTATTGTTCACCATGATTTATTGCTACATCTCAGGTTGTTAATCCGGCCTATTATGGATTGGAGGATACTGAAACAAACACATTGAACTCTTATCTATCAAGGTGGGGAATGAGGAGTTCATTTAAGCGTAGGTCTCGACTCTGTTAATCTGTTTACAACAAATCGATGATATGTCTTTCCCATTTTGCCCAAACAGGTTAGTCGAAACTACATTTGAAGATCTTGAGGACAGTGGATGCATAAAAGTGGATGACCGCTCTGTAAAGTACTTGATTTTGGGGAAAATAGCTTCACAGTATTACCTCAGCTACCTCACTGTTTCAATGTTTGGGTCAAATATTGGCCCCAGCACATCATTGGAAGTAAGTTTTGACCTTAATTATTCCTTGGTTAATTGTTTATCAGTTAATTCGGAATGACAGATATTGAATAGCTTTGATTCTGTTGCTAGGTCTTTGTGCACGTACTGTCGGCTGCGGCAGAATTTGATGAGCTTCCTGTACGGCACAATGAGGTGTTTTTCCCTCTTTTATTTATTATATTCAACTTCTGTTCATAGATAATTGAAGTCAAAACATTTTTTCTCCTTCCGAAGATGAGGTCACTGTATTGATTAAGGAGAGGAATTGAAATTCATACAGCTAATTCCTAAAATGCACTCTGACCTTAGTTCACCCTGAACTTGTTCTTGGCATGTTTTCATCTTTTTTGCACTTTTGCTCTTTGCTGATTCAGGATAATTTGAATCAAATACTCAGTGGAAATGTCCCGTATCCAGTTGATCAACACCACCTTGATGATCCACATGTTAAAGCCAACTTACTCTTTCAGGTACAGGGAGTTGAACATATGATTGAAATGATCTTTCTTTAGCAGTATTTTCAGTTTGATAGTATTTGATGCACAATGATGTGGTAATTATCATTTTTTTCTTCTATTTCTGTCTTGCAGGCACATTTCTCCAGAGCAGAATTGCCAATAAGCGACTATATCACTGACTTGAAATCAGTTCTTGATCAGAGCATACGTATCATACAGGCAATGATTGATGTATGCGCCAATAGTGGATGGCTTTCGAGTGCATTGACTTGTATGCATCTCTTGCAGATGATCATACAGGTGAATTGCATTGGATCAGCTTTTCTTTTTCAAATATATAAAAACGACTCTAAATCCTGTATTGGAGGAGGATTGCATTGGTTCAGCCTTTCTATTTTACCTTGCTAGGGTCTCTGGTTTGAGAGGGATTATGAATCCCTCTGGATGTTGCCATCCATGAATGATGATATATTAGATCATCTCAAGGGTAGAGGAGTCTCAACAGTCCCCTCCTTGCTGGATCTTTCCCGTGAAGAATTGCATAAGCTACTTCAACCATTTTCTGCATCAGAGTTGTATCAGGTGCTACTTCCTCAGTTCTCACACTTAAATTTGTGAGCATAATTTGTTTCCCTAAACGGTTTTAGATATTAGTTGAAAATAAAGTGGTTTGTAAATTTCTGAATTGTCCATCATTATCCAGTCTCCTTGAATTATTCAAGGAAACCTCCTTTTCCTTTTGGTCCTAGGACCAATCTGTGTGGCATAGTGGATGCCAAGTGTACATAAACCTCTATTTCCTTACTTAATGGAGTGGCAGAGCTCCTGCCTTTCCTTTCAAAAAAGAATTATTCAAGGAAATGCAAGCAGAAGAAGCTGGTTCCAGTGTTCTTATTGTTTCCCTAGATTGCCATGTTACTCATATTGGGCCCCAAATAATATTCAATGTTATTGTGTTGATCTCAGGGACTGGCGCTTCTTAATGCCCATGAATTTCTACATATTCTTTTAGAACAAAAATGTGTCAGGAATGGGCCCTGCTATTTAATTGACTATGTTTCAACTTTCTACATGGCACTTTCGATTTCCTTTAAATTTCACTGTCTGATTCATTACCAGTATTTCCCGTTTCTACGTGTTAATTAACCTCATTATTAGTATTTTCTGTCGAACTTCTGAATGCATATGATCATTGCTTTATTACTCTCCTGACTACTATATTTCATTGTGCAGGATCTGCAACATTTCCCTCGTGTTGATGTGAAAGTTAAGCTTCATAATGAACAGGAGCGATCCAAACCTCCAACTTTAAACATCAGACTGCAATTGAAAAATTCACGACGTTCAGCATCAAGAGCATTTGCCCCTAGATTTCCCAAGGTTAGTATCTAAATAATTTTCATGAGAATAGATACATAGTAGGCTCATTATTTAAGGTATTGCATAAATTTCCCAAGGTCAGTATCTAAATAATTTGCCATGAGAATAGATGCAATGATGAAATGTAACATAGTAGGCTCATTGTTTAATGTATTGCATAAAAAATTGTTAAAATGGATTCAAAATGAAGAAAACTTTTGCCCAGGTCTTGATAAGTTAGGAAGACCATTTGGGAACTGACTTGCCCAGGTCTTGATAAGTTAGGAAGACCATTTGGGAACTGACTTGAAACAATACGTGTTGTGTATCAGCATTCTAGTGTTAGTCGTTGAACTCTCACTCTCGGTAGTAGCAGAATTCTTACTCTCATCGAGAGAGGATGACACTAGGAGTTGGGGCAATTTTCTGGTTTATTTCTCACACAAACTCACACAAATGCCATACCAACCTGAGGGGTTGGGGTTACATATTTATAGGCTGCTAGCCAGCTAAGCATATGCCAAGATGCTAGTCTAAGATGCCAAGATGCTAGTCTAAGATGCTAAGATGCTGTCCTAAAAACAGAAAAACAGCCACAAGGACCATGTGAGCAACACAGCTCCACAAAGACCAGCCACACATGAGACTTATCCATCATTCTCCCCCTAAGTCTTGTGCGTCGTCTTGTGGGAGAGTTGAACCATCCCGGTCCTGGAGCAGAGCTCAAGGAACTTGATCCTCCCAAGGGCCTTGGTGAGCAGGTCCGCAAGCTGGTCCTTGGTGTTGATGTAGCTCGCCTTGATGCTCCCTTCCTCCAAACAGCCTCGGATGAAGTGGTACCTCACCCGGATGTGCTTGCTGCGTTCGTGGAACACGGGGTTCTTTGCCAGGGCCAGAGCGGACTTGCTGTCCACCCTGAGATCCACCGCTCTAGTGTCTCTGCCGAGGAGATCACCAAGCAGTCGGGCGAGCCAAAGCGTCTGAGTCGAAGTGGTGGAGGCCGCTATGTACTCGGCCTCGCAGCTGGACAGGGCCACCACCTGCTGCTTCACCGACTACCAGCTAACAAGGCACTTGCCGAGGAAGAAGAGGATCCCGCTCGTGCTTTTCTTTGGTGTCGATGTCGCCCGTGGTGGTCATTGTCATTGCATGCGACGAAGTGTGTGCGCCCCTGGGGCACCTCGGGTAGTAGAGGCCGTGGTCGAGAGTCCCCGCAACGTAGCGGATGATCCTCTTCACAGCCTGCTGGTGCTCCATTGTCGGTCGCTGCATGAACCGACTAACGTAGCCGACGGAGAATGCCAGGTCCGGCCGTGTGTGGGCGAGGTAGCGAAGGCTCCCCACAAGACGCCGGTACTGCGTAGCGTCCACCTCCTCCGCCGTGCTGTCGCGGCTCAGCTTCAGCCTCTCCTCCATCGGAGTGAGAGCTGGGTTGCAGTCGGTGAGCCCAGCTAGCTCAACGACGCGCTTGGCGTAGGCGGTCTGTCGAAGCGTGATCCCGGAGTCATCCTGGTGCACCTCGATCCCCAGGTAGAAGGAGAGAGGTCCCAGGTCACTCATCTGGAAGGTGGCCTTCATCTCTTCCTTGAATGCCGCCACCTCCGCATCCTTGGTGCCGGTGATCACCAAGTCGTCGACGTAGACACCCACCAGCAGAGCATTTCCTCCACTGCCCGTCGGTAGATGGCCGCCTCGTCGCGGGCTTTGCTCAAGCCTATCCCTTTAGCGTGGAATCCGACTTGGCATTCCACGCCCTCGGTCTCGCCGCAAGCCATAGAGGGCCTTGCGCAGCGTGAGCACCTGCCCTCCTTGCCGGGATCGCAAATCCGGCGGGGTGGTGCACGTAGACCTCCTCCTTCAAGTCGTCGTTAAGGAACGCCGACTTGACGTCCATGTGATGAACACGCCCGGCCCTCCCGAAACGGCGCTAAGCTGAAGGAGTCGCGACGGACTCCATCCGTGCCACGGAGAGAAAAAAGGCGTCGTCGAAGTCGACCCCCTCTGCCGCAGACGAAGCCTCGTGCCACCAAGCGAGCCTTGTGCTTGACGATGGCACCGGCTTCATCCTCTTCGACTTGTACACCCACTTAAGGGTGATCGCGCGGTGACCACGAGGAAGGTCGCCAAGCTCCCAGTGCGGTTCTTCTCAACCGCATCCATCTCCAATCGCATCGCATGGCGCGCCATGCGCGCGTGTCTCTCGACCTCTGCAAACGACCGAGGTTCGCCGTCGTCACACGCAAGGTGCAAGCCGCGCCTCCAGTCGTGAGGCACCGGTCCGCAGACCGGCTGGTCGCCGAGAAGGTTCTCCAACAGACGGTACCGCAAGCGGCTCGCCGTCGTGGTATCGCGCGACGACGCGCCTCCTCTCGTCGAGAGAGAGCGAGTAGCGAGCTCAACCGGCCGTGCTCGACACGAGCCGGTGGTGGGGTAGACGCGTGCCGAGTGGTGCTCGCTGTCGGTCTTTGGAGTGCGTGGCGTTGCTTGCGGTGTGGTGGAGCCGGCGAAGAACTCATCGCCGCCGAGGAGGTCTGGTGGAGAACGCGTGGTCTTTGTCGAGTAGCAGCGCGCCGGGTCGGTGGAGGCTCGGGGATGGGGTAGACGCGCTTCGCCGAAGAAGAGCCGCCTACTCCCAGACTCCCTCGAAGTGGATGTACTCGGCGGTGAAGTCGCGTCGTCGCGTCGGAGCCGAGCCGCCGCCCACCGCCTTGTCCCACGCCCATCTCGCTTTTTCGTCGAACACAACGCCGCGCGCGCGTGCGCGCACACGTGTCTGTCTTGGTCGACGATGCGGTAGGCCTTCGAGCCCTCGCACAGAGCGATGAACACTCCGAGTGCTCGTCGCCGAGCTTGCTTTGATGTGGCCAAGCTCCTTGGCTAACGCGAGGCGTACCAAGACCCGCAAGTGGGAAACCGTCGGCTTGCGCCCATGCCAAGCCTCGTCTGGCGTCCTGCAATGAAGCGCCTTGGTAGGCGGCGGTTGAGGATGTAGACGGCCATCACCACCGCTTCTCTCCCGAAGGCACCCGGCATCCCCTCGCTTGAGGAGGGCCGAGCCATCCCCACAACCGTCTGGGTTGCGCCGCTCGACGACGCCGTTCTGCTGCGGGCTATACTGGGCGCGGAGTAGTGGCGCTGATGCCCTCTCGTCACAGAAGATGACGACGCGAATTCACCGCCGTGAATTCGCCGCCGTTGTCGGTCGCGAAAGACGCGCCTGTGCGGCCGCTCCGCCGCCTTGAAGACATGCGCGCGACGCTCGATGGCGTCCTGACCTCTCCCTTCTTTGCCGAGGACCATCACCGATGTAGGCGGGAGAGGTCGTCGACGACGGCGCGCAGGAAAGTAGTGTCGTCTCTCCGGTGTGGCGTGTGTCACCGGGCCACACAAGTCCCCGTGCACAAGCTCGAGCCTCTCCTTGGCTCGGAAAGCTCGCCTCGGCCGGGGGAAAGGGGAGTCGCCTCTGCTTCGTCAACACGCAGACGTCGCAGAGATGCTCCACATGGTCGAGGCACGGCAGACCTCGCACCATCTCCGCGGCAATCGAGCCGCTTGTGGCCTCGAAGTGAAGGTGCCCAAACGCTTCGTGCCATCGCCACGCCTCGTCATCCCGACGACCGCCGAGACAAGGGGTTGTGCCACACCGCACGTTGAGGACGTAGAGTCGTCGGCGCTCGGTTACCTTGGCAAGAAGGCGACGCGGCGATCCCAAATCCTCATGACTCCATCCTCAACCACCACGCTGCGAACCGTTCTCATCCGGTGTCCCAAGGCGATGATAGAGTTCCTCAGCGGGGATGTAGTAGACTCCGGTGAGCAACTTTGTGCTCACCGAGACACAGCAGTGAAGATAGCGGAGCCGACTCCCTTGATCTCCACGCCGGAGGCATCCCCAAACTTGACGGAGCCTCGGACGCTAGAGTCAAGCTCGGTGAAGAACTCCCGTCGACCGGTCATGTGATGGGTGGCGCCGGTGTCGAGGCACCACCCGTCAGTCTTGTCGTTGCCGGAGCTGTCGCCGAGGAGGGCGTGTGCTTTTGGCTCGTCAAGGTGGAGGAGAGCCGCTGCGGCCGGTGCCGCTGGAGGTAGCTCGATGCTTGCATGTGCCATGAACAGAGCCGGCTCCTCCTCCTCCTTTGCTTTGGCGACGTGGGCTTTGGCTGCGTCGTGGTATCGGCGATCCTTGGCCCAATGGGCTAAGCCGGGCCAGCATGCAAAAGGCGGCGTCGTCGTCGTGCCGGCTTGTGCTGCCGGCGCGCCGCCTGGCGCCCCGCGGCATCACCTCGGCTGACGTCCTCGCGCCCGGCTCGGGCGTCTCTGCGCCTTGCGTGGCTTTGCCACGCTTGCGCGATCACTGTCGCGGAAAAAGGCTCCCCTTCTTCCGGTCACCTTGGTTTGGCAAGCCACCGCTCCCAGTGTGAAGGAGCTTCCCGATGGTGGTGATGGGCCCCGAGAGAGCGTGGCTCATCGGCATTGCCGGCGACCTTGAGGCGACCTATCGCCTCCTCGACGACATCGTGGAGAGATCCAGCGAGGACTCGATCGAGCGAGCCATCTGCTTGTACTTCTTCGGGGGGCGCAGTGAAAGAGCTTTTCGACGACTCTCTCCTCGCCGTAGGTGTCATCGCCGAATCGCACCATCTTCTCGCAATAAAGTGTTGAGACGGAGAGCAAAGTCATCAACGTCCTCACCGGCTTGAAGGCGTGTTCTCCCACTCCTGCGGCGCTGCGGTGTGGACTTCTGGGACTTGCGCTGCGCGCGTGCGCGATGGCGTCCCCAAGCCTCCTTGGCGATCCGCTTTGTAAGTAGCGAATCGCATCTCGGCGGGATGCAGCGATGAGGGCATCCGGCGCCCGTCGATCTAGGTCGTAGTCGACGCCGTCGTCATCGGACCGCCTCCCACATGTGCCGCACTGGAGATTTACCCTCATCACCGCAGCCCCCACTCGGCGTAGTTGGTCTTGGTGAGGTAGGCCACCCACCGCCGGGACCGGCGCCCCGACAACGACCGAGAGCGTGGTAACCACGGTACCGATCTGGGGAGAGAGCCCCGCCGCTCGTGAAGGCCGTGCTCTCCATCGACCCGTCGGTACCGATCCGGGAGAGAGAGCCACGCCGCTCGTGCAAGGCCGCGCTCTCCATCGACCCGCCCGCCACCGTTGCCGCGGCGCGCCTCCAGAGCGCCGTCGCGCGCGTCGCGCTGTTTGGGCTGCCGCCGCGCGCTGCGTGCGGCGCGCGCGGCTGCCTCGAGCGCCACCGCCATGCGCGCCTCCTCCAGAGCACCGCCGGTAGCGTCCGCGCTGTCTGCCGGCTGCCGCCGCCGCGCTCGTGGCGTGCGCGGGCGCCATCGCGCCGCCAGCGCTTTGCCCGCCTCCTCTCTAGCAGCTCGAGGTCCACGTCGGCGGTGTCGTCGTGAAATGGAGCTGCCGATCTCGCCGCAGCAGAAGCCTCGACCTCGCTGCCGCCGCCTGCGCGCGTTGCATTCGCCGCCGCCCTTGCCGCTCCGCTCCGGCTCGGCTGCGCCGGCCTCGACGCCCTTCCCGCGCGCGTAAGCTCTGCGCCGCCGCAGCTCGCGTTCCTCTGCGCAGCAAGTTCGGCCTCTCGCCGACGCCTTGGCGTGCTCGAGGCGACCGAGCGCTGAGACTGCCCTGCGGACATGACGCGCTACCGGGGGGCTGCTGCGTGGGGAGAGGGCTGCTTCAGAGGAGAGGAGTGAGCAGTGGCGGTCGGAGGAGCTGCTGCTGCCAACAGCTGGGGCTGTTGTGGGGCTGGGAGGGGAGATGAGCAGGAGATGCTCAGGCTACAGGATAGTACGGCTTTGATACCAGTTGTTAGTCGTTGAACTCTCACTCTCGGTAGTAGCAGAATTCTTACTCTCATCAAGAGAGGATGACACTAGGAGTTAGGGCAATTTTCTGGTTTATTTCTCACACAAACTCACACAAATGCCATACCAACCTGAGGGGTTGGGGTTACATATTTATAGGCTGCTAGCCAACCAAGCATATGCCAAGATGCTAGTCTAAGATGCTAGTCTAAGATGCTAATATGCTGTCCTCTAGTCTAAGATGTTGTACTCTAAGATGCTGTCCTCTGGTCTAAGATGCTGTCCTAAAAACAGAAAAATAGCCACAAGGACCATGTGAGCAGCACAGCCCCACAAAGACCAGCCACACATGAGACTTATCCATCATCTAGGTTGACAGATAAATTGAAAAGGTCAACTGGTTGGACTGGTAAATGTGTCACCTTAAATCTGTTGGCAATTGGGTTGTGTAGGAGAGCTCTGGCTCCAAGCATTCTTGGAGTTGGGGATAGACTGGGGATTTCGTGTGATCCATCAAGTCCTCATTCTTGTCTACATACTCTAGATCCTGCAAGAATCAAGGAGTTGAGCTCTTCCAAACAGGCCAACATTTCTGGAATAATCTTATGCACTGCAAAAGAAATTTGCACAAATTGATAAAACTATTTAGGTAGTGCAGATCTTTTTTTTATCCCAAAGGCGTGAATGTAACCTGAAAACTTGAGTGCGAGTGAGTCGGAGGGGGGGGGTCTTATATAATATAATGTCAGCTCTCCTGTACATTCAAGGAAAAAGGTTTGTCAAAGAATGCTTTGTAATGGTAGAAATCGGTTGAATCTCCCACTAGTAGTGATAATAGCCTTACTGGATGACTATACTGTACTTGGGTGGCACCTGTTCCCTGTATATGTCAGTAAATTCGAGTAGATATATGTTCCACAGTTGCTGGAACTTATGTATGACCTTATTAATGTTGATTTCTTCAGCTTACTGGTTTGCTGTTTGACCTGTCCCAACTAATGTATCGTTGAACTTCAATAGTTGTGTTGCATTTAACCTTTTGGTTGTTTTCTGTAGGCAAAACAAGAAGCTTGGTGGCTGGTCCTGGGGAATGCTACAAGTTCAGAGCTGTATGGTCTGAAAAGAATTAGTTTTGCTGATCGGGTGATTAATACTCGCATGGAATTGCCACAGATGTTCGATGTACAGGTAAATGAATTTTGTTAGGCTATATGCTATAGGCTCAGTGTTAAGATCTTCTGTGATTTTTGGGTGACTTGACAGCTTGTGCAGTTGCGCCTGAGACATCTATTACTACACAGTTTATTATATTACTACACAGCTGACTTTTTACTTGTTGGGATACCATTGAATCCTGTTAGTCTGCTGCATTAACAGTAAATATCATAAATATGTATGCTTGAGATGGCTTGTTTCAAGCATGAAATCTGTGTGAGCTAACATGTCTTTTATGATTCTTGTTTCCCTCAGATGTGTGCATCGCTCTTTTATGTTCTGACAATGTAATTTTATTTCAGGAGACGAAGCTGATTTTGGTGTCGGATTGCTACCTAGGTTTTGACTTGGAGTATTCTCTTGAGCATCTCACCAAGGGTTGAGTGCTTTGTTCAGAGTTCAGATCTGTTTGGGCTGTAACATTTTGTATGGGTTGAGCAACCAGCCCATCCTAGATCGATCTGTCATCACGAGCTCGTTCCATGAATTTTGTTGGAATGACTACATCCCTTGTGCTCATGCTTATATAGCATTTAATAGCGATGTGATGGTTGTAGATCAACTCATTTCATCCCCCTTACCAAACAAAAAGCAAGGATGAGGTGATAAATCACCCATTTATCAAACCAAGAACACCTTGGTGGCACCGTGTAGCCATTCACAATATCTAATATGGGAATTTATAGAACATTCGGTCGTTGAGTGTCCAGATTAAGAATGCAGCAACTGTTCCCTGTCTCCTGGATCTAACTGATTCTTACAGGTATATAGGCTGACAGATCTTATCGTCTACTCCCTCCTGTCTCATTATTTGTTGTTTTAGCTCTGGCCATGGGAATTAAGAAGTGAAAAAAATGTGGTGCATAAGAAAAGAGAAATCTACATTGAAAAATGAAGATGGTAAAAAAATTTGATACAACTGTAGAAGGCTACAACGACTCTTATTATGGAATGGGATGAAGTAACTGAGATCACAAATAGGCGGTCAGACAGTGGACTTGATAGATCATGAAATCTGTAAATGTGCTGAATTTCCAACCAACTGCCTGGTTGTGAGTCAAGATGGGAGTTCAATTTGAAAGCGCAGCCGGTAACAGCAATTTACAGCTGAGCGGTGCAAGCTGCTACCTCCGACTAATGGGATAACACGGGGCGCAACATCTTTCATCTTTCGCTAGACTTCTGAAAGAGGCCAGAATGAGTTACAGGGAATGCAAATAGAAATCTGATTATTCTACACCTGAAATTCTCCAGTAGTTTTTTTTTAAATTCTCTAGTAGCTAGTTTCTTTCTTCCTCACAAACTTACCGAGCCTCAAAACTCAATCGCAAACGCATTTCGACTGTATACTAGATACTGTATGGTCCATCATGAGTTCATTCCTCAAGGGACAAGGGGTAATTTTTCAGTGCCTCAGTGCTAGCGAAACGGAACACCGAAAGCTGCACGTGCCCCAGATTCAGTATCTTCACACATTGACACAGCTGGAGACACTAACCAATTTGCATGAAGTAAAATCCTCAGGAATATTGGCACTTTAAATTTACAGGAACCCGTTAGCGTTTAAACATCACGGGTACATAAGTTACAAGAATTTCCAAGCACTTTACCCGCCACTTGTTCCATGAATGCTTTCAGCACTACATAAAACTAGTAATTAACTGCTGACTAACAAGGGTGGTCAGTTAGACTGGACACACTAGCCAATTTGCATCCCATCCTAAAGGAACCAAAGAACCCAGAGAAAGGCTCACATTATTATTTCCACTCTAGCCTGCCAACACTCCATCATCATGGATTTCTTAGAGATTGACAAATAGCGAAGAAACCCGCTAGATGTACTAAGCTAGTAAGCATTGACTTCTCTAAAAAATTCTGAAGCTAATTACTTTTCATCTGAGAAAAATGATGGGAGATCCACAGTTTTTTCCTTGACTTTCCGCAATATACATGGACCTATACTCGATATAAGGGACAACAACAACAGCCAGCACTGAGTTGATCGGCTGGAACACGTCCCCTGGCCTGCCTCATCGTGGTATTGTGATGCTTCCGGTTCTCAAGTTACCCCTTGATAATATGACTTCTGATTGGCCATGCTTTGCATGGAATAAGGAGCACTGGGAATCACAGGGCTCAACCCGAGATCATCTGAGCGGCTAGAAAATAATTGAAGATCATTCCACTAGAGTGACAAACAGTACACCCCTTCAGGAAGATTTCCAGGGACTGCAAAAGACATGACATGTCTTTCAGGAAAAATTCTCCGAGGAGTCATTTCTGAAGCAGATGAACCCTCGACTGCTGCTGCATGGTTCCGGCCATGAAATCTTCCCAAACGATTTACAATAGAAATTCTCTCCAGATCTTGGCACTCCAGTTGCACGTCTAGCATCGAGGCCCTCTTGTTCAAACTGTAACAAGAGGCAAATTGTGTTTCAGCCAAAAAGGAGGCAAATTGTGTTGATAAACAAATCGTGTTTGACTTGAGCTTAATATAGATGTATTAGCACGAAACTAATTTAGGAACCCTCCTAGGATACAGGGCGTGATAGTTATTAGTTATCCAAATACAGGTGGGAACTGGTGTCAATGGCTAACGTGAAAATAAATATCATGACAAATATAGCTGTAGGTGAAAATATAGTCAACACAGGCTTGCATTTATACCAGCACTTTAAATTCACTTCCAACTACAGGTGGAAATGTGGGGAGAAAATTAGAAAGAAGGAAACATAGTTACAATTTCAAAATTATTTATTCAGCCATCCCCAGAGTACACTAGCAAACATATGAAGTGCAAACCTTTTGAGGTGCAAACAATCTCATTAAGCTTCAGCTTTGGGTGCTAAACTAACAAGAACATTCTGGAGGAAAATTGACTTTTTAGCATGAGGTGCTGCAGCATCCTTGGAAATTTCAGTTCAAAGCCAAAAATGTGTAAGGGAAAAAAATTGTGGTTAGTAGTATCATTTCTGAAGGGCGGGCCTGGTGTAAGTGGTAGAATCTTACCGCCTGTGACCGGAAGGTCCCGGGTTCGAGTCGCGGTCTCCTCGCATTGCACAGGCGGGGGTAAGGCTTGCCACTGACACCCTTCCCCAGATCCCGCACAGAGTGGGAGCTCTCTGCACTGGGTACGCCCTTTTTTTAGTATCATTTCTGTCTCATTTCCCTTTTCCTTTTGATTTATTATTTTCCAGAATTTTCTATTTCAACTTGAAATGCTATACATGGACATAGAGCCAAGAAGTGCATATACTTCATAATGGTTTGGTGCCAAAACCTAAAGTGGTAGCACAACAGCAGCCTGAACAATAATGGTACTTTATTTCTTCCAAATTTCATTATAAAATTGTTAGGGTACTAGTGTAATCTCCTAGTCTAGGATTTCCCTCTTGCGTCTCTCATGTACTATATATATATATATATATATATATAGTCTCCAATGGGATCCAATACAATTATCCAATTCAGTCTCTCTTATTTGTAACAAAAAAAATGGTGCTTCAACTTTTCAAGGTCTAATTATCCAATTCAGTCTCTCTTATTTGTAACAAAAATAAATGGTGCTTCAACTTTTCAAGGTCTCAGTCCAAGGTATGCTGGTGCTGCCAGAAATTCCAAGCAGTCAAAGGGATGTATTATAACAGCATTCTTAAACATAAATGCATCAAAGCAGTAATGTTGCGGAGGATAAAGAACCATATACCAATGAAAACCATTACAGCCATTAGCCATCGCATACCTTATAAAGTCATTTTCCATCTTCCGGATTCTTCCAACAAAGACTTCCACGGCCTTTGACACTTTGTCTTCCATTTTCTTAGCACTTGTTTGTTCAGATGGGCTAGTCCATGATAGGGCAAAATCAGGAAAATGAGCATTTGAACAATAAGGTGATCCAGACAAACATGTCCTTCATGCTTATAAAATAATAAGCAAAAGCACATAACAATAATCATTTTTTTGGGAGACTTACTTATTTTCATCCTCCACAGGAGAGCAAGAGTTATATAATGATGATGATGCCATGCTGCACGCATCCCTTAGTGTCAGCATTGATAGATTGTATGTCGCACTTTCGTAAGCAGACACAGCTTGTGCTCTCAGAATGGTTGCTGGTATAGCAGGGAGAAGTTGCTGAATCAATTGGGTTGTCAAAATTAGCCTCTTCCGCGGTAAATAATTTAAAGGAGCATCGTCTGGAGTTTCTGACTCATCCTGTTCCAGAATTTAGTTCAGCGTCAAGATAAATCTCTTGAACCAATATCGACAAGAACTGAAATAGCAGAATTGTAAAGTTGTACTAACCTTCTCAATTAACCGATTAGCTGCCCAAGCCCAGTCCATCTCAAATGTGCTGTGAATAAAGTAAAAGGTTTTCATGTTTGTAAGCACATCAGAACCATATAAATGAAAACAATTCAATCAAGGAATAAAGATAAAGGAAAGTCACAGGAACTGGTGGTAGAACTTAATAACAACTTAAACATAGAATGTGTCCAAACATTACTGGAACCTGCAGCATGAGTTATAATGTTTACCTGATGCTCCTCAATTTTTGTGGGTTTTCAATTATTTTATGCCAAGAAACAAGTGCGGAGTCCATAGCTTTACGCTTCTTAGGCCTTCTCATCACTGAAGATACTTTTACATTGGAAGGAATCAAAGCTTCCATTCTTGTTGATGGGAGATGATGCCCAGGCCTAACTGATTGGCCAGATTCAACTCTATTTTCAGCAGGGTTATTATTTTCATTGTTCCAAGAAGCTTTCAGAAAATTATATGGCAAAGGCGTGGGCTTCTGCGTGTTGAGCATAGCAACACTCTGACCATTTCTATAGTTTCCGTAATGTCCAAACCAAGAAGGTGCCATTTGAGGGTTTATCCTCGGCCTCTCACTTCTTTCAACAGAATTTGACGTTGCACTTGTGCCCATAGGCTGAACTTGATTCTGATTATCATTTTGTGCAGTAACCATACCAGGAGACGGGCGCTCTCCAGAAGGAAGCTGAGAAGGTATATTAGGATTTCTCTCCTCACTCCGTGAAGCAAAACTCAGCATTTTCATGTCTGAATTGAATGACCCTGGGACACCAGGGCTCCCAATGTTATCTGCAGACGATTTGGTTGAGTTATTGGCTACATGAGCAAACCTCTGACCAGACTTCCAGTCAATCTGTGAAGCATCAGGACCAATATCAGGTCTTGTCGTCTTTCCAGCTAAACTACCTGGATCAATATCCGTCTGCCTCAAGGCTTGCATTTGATGTAGAAGGGAGTAACTTTGCTGCTGAATGTTTGAAGGTGCTGGGCTTCCATGTAAAACAATGCCACCACTATTATTAGCACTATTGTGGGAAGCATTCATAGCCTGAAAATT